TCAGTGAGGTGGACGCCAACCTGATGCTGGCCCTCTATAACAACTCCTTCTACACCCGCAAGGAGTCCTATGACTACCAGGCAGCCTGCGCCCCCCAGCCCCCTGGCAACTTGGGTGCTGCACCCCGAGGAGTGTTTGTGGTGAGCCTGCACATGCAGAGATGCCTGGGAGGGGCAGGAGGTTTTCCCACATGTGACCCCCACCCCTGACATCTGAGGGGTTGGAGTGTCCAGGGGTAGGCAGGGTGCAGCTAGCCCACACCCTCTCCCTGCTGCAGCCCACTATCGCGGATTTCCTTAACCTGGCCTGGTGGACTTCTGCTGCTGCCTGGTGAGTACCCAGGGGGAGGTGAGCAGAGAAAGTGTCCTCTGACCTCCGCTGACCACCCCCACTCGGTGCCCCCTGCCCCTTCGGCAGGTCATTGTTCCAGCAGCTTCTGTATGGCCTCATCTACCACAGCTGGTTCCAGGCGGGTACGTAGCCCCGCCTCACATTGCAGTATCCAATCTAAGAGAGGAGAGGGGAGGGTGTGAGGGCTGAACCAGATGAAAGCCCAAGAGTGACCCCGGCGGGCCTGTGAGTGGGGCTGAGGCGCTCTGGGCCCTGCAGACCCCACGGAGGCCGAGGGGAGTCCCGAGGCACGAGAAAGCAGCTGCGTGATGAAGCAGACCCAGTACTACTTCGGCTCGGTGAACGCCTCCTACAACGCCATCATCGACTGCGGAAACTGCTCCAGGTGATGCCAGGGGCGGGGTTAGAGGAGGGGTTGGGGCGGGGCTCCTGCCGGGGCGGGGCCAGCCTCGAGGCGCTGCCTCTCCTGCACCCTGCAGGCTCTTCCACGCGCAGAGGCTGACCAACACCAACCTTCTCTTCGTGGTGGCCGAGAAGCCGCTGTGCAGCCAGTGCGAGGCTGGCCGACTGCTGCAGAAGGAGACGCACTGTATCCTGCCCCCGCGCTCCCCCACCGCCCGCGGCCCTCTGCCCCGCGGCCCCGCGTCGAGGTGCCCCTGCCGCCTCCTCCTTGACTCCCCACCCATGCCCAGCGGACGGCCCGGAGCAATGTGAGCTGGTGCAGAGACCGCGATACCGGAGAGGCCCGCACATCTGCTTCGACTACAACGCGACGGTGAGGGGGCTGGGGAGCGGCGGCCTGGGCGGTCCTCCCGGCTCCCGCGGGCGTGCAGCCAGGCGGACCCGTCCCTCGTCTGTCCCCGCAGGAAGATACCTCAGACTGCGGCCGCGGAGCCTCCTTCCCGCCGTCGCTGGGCGTCCTGGTGTCGCTGCAGCTGCTGCTCCTTCTGGGCCTGCCGCCGCGGCCGCAGCCCCAAGTCCACTCCCACGCCTCGCGCCGCCCCTGAACGCCCCCGCCCGGCTGCCCCCTCCCTTCCCTCGCGCGTGCTCCCGCACTGGAGCCTCGGTCCCTTCTCCCTCCCCAAAGGACGTGCGCCTTGGGGTGGGGGAGCCCCAAAGGAGGGGACCACCACGGGCCTTGGCACTCCATCCACATCGGACTGTGGAGTGTCCTCGGATCCTCCATCCCCACCAGGTTCTCCCCCAGCGAGCTGGGAGGTGGAAGCCACCTGTACTGGTGCCAAACCAGGCCTCCGCTGCCCACCCTGCCTCAGCTGGACTCCTCTAGGCACCCCCAAACTGGTTTCTCCTACAGTAGAGGGAAGGAGGGAGGACAGACGGGCAGTTGCTGAGGCCTGGACATCCCGGCTTAAATCCTGGCAGGAGAGGCGGCCTGAGGTTCCCGTGTCCCTCACCCCCAGCCCTGCAGGTGTGCGAAAGTCCCCGTGACAACTGCTTAGACATAATAACCCTGCACACACCTGAATCCCTGAGGGCAGAAACTGGACTCAAATCAAAACAAACCCTAGAACGAACACACACACACACACACACACACACACACACACACAGTATACCATAGTTGGAGTGGGTGGGGGCTCACAAAGCCTTACCTAGGGCCAGGGGTTGGTGGGAGGGTGTCACCTGCCTGCACACTCCATCTCATCCTCACCGTCCACCCCGAACCCCAGCTGAATGTCAAACAGTGCCAAATGCTAGGGCAGAGGGTGAAGACCCTCTGTCCCACCCCTGCTACCAGTGTTCCCTAAGTGCCCCTTACCCTGCCAGGTGCTCATTGTAACCATTTCTCACTAGTTCGTCAGCCCCCAACACAGCCACCGGCCACTGCCTGCCCCCTTGGCAGAGGAACCCCCCACCATTCATTACCCTTTGCCTTAGCAGGGGTGGCTCAGTCTCTCCTGGCTGGGCCATCCCACCCCAGACTAGTCCTTCCACACTCAGGCCTGTGCCGATTCCCCATCTCTTTCCCCTCACACACGTGCGTGTGCACACACACACACACACACACACCCTGCCCCCAGGAGGCCAAATGCCCCTTCCCTGCTGAACACATACCTGAATTTGCACGTGTGCGCACACATACACACACACACACACACACATACACACTCTGTGCACCCACAGAAGCTGGCCCAGGCATATCACTTGATACTGTTCGTTCTGGTCATTTCCCCCAAAGGCGTCCCAGCCTGGGGGCCGTTGGGGGTGGGGGGAGGCCAGGGCACAGGGATATGGCCATGGGGCTTTGATGGACCGGGAGGAGGGGGGAGGGGGATGCATTAATTAATGGCTCCATTAATTAATGTCATGTTGCTTGTTGCTTTCTCAGTGTGTGTATATGGTCCATGCCCGCTGCTGGTGTCAGGGTGAGGCATCCTTAACGTATGCCACTCCCCAGATGTCAGCCATGCCCTGCGGGGGGGCGTGTGTGTAACTGTAGTGTAGTCAGGTGCTCAATGGAGAATATAAAAACTAAAAAGAAACAACAATATACAGAAAATATATATTTTAAGTTTAAAAAAGCAAACAGAAAAACAGACAAAACAATCCCCATCAGGTAGTCATCCAACCCCCAGCTGGGTCCAATCCTGCTCATCTCCCACCAACCCAGCTACCCCCTCACCTCAGGCTGGGGGACTGGGGGGCCATTTCCTTTTCTCTGCCCTTTTTTTTTGTTTTGTTTTGTTTGTTCGATTTTGTACAGACAAGTCGGAAAAACAACAGCGACAAAAAGTCGAGAAACTTTGTAAAATACTGTTGTGTGTGATTCCTTGTAAAATATTTTCAAATGGTTTATTACAGAAGATCAGTTATTAAATAATGTTCATATTTTCACTTCAAAACAGTCTCCATGCACTGTGTAAGCCCTGAGGGTGACAACTGGGTGGTGACGAGGACAATGGCCCAGGTCAGCGCTGGCCATGGGGTCTGGCTTAGTGAGTGCAGGCTCTTGACATACTTAACAGCTTCTCCCTCAAAAGCTTCAGGAGAAAGCTGTCTTTAATGAATGGCAAAGCCACCCCTCTCCTCAAAGAACCTGGAGGAAAGCAGCTGGGCCAGCCAGTGAAGACAGGGACAGGCATCCACGATGTGGTGACAGACAGCTCCATGAGCCTGACTGGGTGCTGGTGACCTCACTGCCACACACCCGCCCTGCAGTCTAGAAGCTGGCCAAGTGGATGCTGTCTCTAAACCTCCATAGGGCAGGCCTAAGCTCATGCATGCATCTTAACCTGCTTCATAGCCAGCCCAGGTCAGTGTAACTCTAGTCAGCACACAGAGCTCCCTGTCTTTCTCCAGCACTTGCAGAGCAGGCTGCGGCAGCAGCTGGGTCCCCATCACCATCTTAGGAGTTTGTGTTTCCCCATAGCTCAGATAAGCAAGAGAGGAGCAATCTTCTGTCCCAATGAAGGTTTCAGAAAGGAAGGGCCAAGGTGAGGTGGAGTCAGATGCTACACATGAAGGAGGGCGCTGGAGGCCTCAGACTAAAGCCAGGGCTTGGCCCCATCGCCTAGCCCCTCGCCACAATGCCCTGCAGCAGCCCCAAAGGCCCAGAGGTGAGGTTACCAGGGGGAACACACAACACCTGATCCACTTGGAGCTTCAGATCCCAACTTGTGTAGTAGGGAAGTATGTTTCAGGTATGACATGGCAGGTACTTGAACTAAAACAAGAAGCATGCTTATATTAAAAAATACTTTGTTCCTCCAGAATTGACTGAGTGCTCTGTACTTTGGTTTTTTGAGTCTGGTGTGAAGCCTGGAGGGCACCGACATCCACAAGATAAACAGGTTGAAAAGCAGGGATTCTTCACCATGTAAAGTCCCTTTAGGCTGTCATCATGCACACATTTTTAAAAGATGACTCATGCATATCTACCATAGGAAAGAACCTGCCAGAAACTGGGGTAATGTGAATTGGGGTGTCCAGGCTGTGGGGACTATCTCTCTTACCCTAGCTGCTCTAACAAGCCTGGTGGGAAATAGAGTCAGAGAGGGCAGCCCAGCCCTACCCTTGTAGGACAGGGGTTCCTAGGTTCAGGTCCTCATCACTCGTGTCCAAATGAGTGGACAGGCATTTGATACTCCTGTTCCCCTTTAGGGTAGAAAGGTTCTTCCATCATCTGCATTTCACGGTCCAGGAACTCGAGTTTCAAAAAAGTCCTGGAACTTGGCCAGTATCACACAACCACTAAATGGTAGAGCAAGGATTCCAGCCTGGGTCAAGCCCGTGGAATCCCCACACACTCGCACATTCACCAGCATCAGCCAATTTCCTGACCCACATCCCTGCCTACAGGAACAGGTGTACACGCACAAATAGAGCCACTCTTCCAGAACAGTTCGGCAAGCGTGTGGCCCGAGGCACAGCTACTCCCCCCTACCTGCCTCCATCGCCTACCCTCTCACCCCACCTCACCTCTCCATCTTTACCGCCAAGAACCAGCAGAAAGGGAGCTGAGAACTACAACTCCCAGCATACGCTCGCATCACCGACAGGAATTGTGCTCGCGTGTAGCCTTCTGGGATTTGTAGTTCCATCCGGAACCCAGCTCCTCCCGTACCCGGCGGCGGACAAGGACTCAGTATCCCAGCATGCCGAGGAGCCGGAAGGCAGGCGCTGAGGGCATCCCGCCGTCGCCGCCGGGGGCGCGCAGGCGCGGCACCCCTGTTTGCTGGCCCCCCGAGGAGGAGGAGGCACGGCCGAGGCCGAGCCGGAGCTGACCCGGCTTGACTCGGGCCCAGAACTAGGCTCCAGGCCTGCGAGAACCAAAGGACTCCAGAGTGAATGGAGAAGGCCGGGTTCTGAGAGCGCCGTTGGCCCGGCCGGCCCGGCGCGCGGTCTACGGGGCAGGCAGGCGAGGTCGCCCAGAGCCTTCCCGCAGGTCCTGGGCGAGGGGCCTAGGCTCCGGCCCGGCGGCAAGACCCGGTTCGGCCCCTCAGGACCACAGCTTGATCCGACCGTAAGCAGGTCCTTCGCCCGGGACACAGCCTAGTGACCAGGCCAGGCCCGGGCCTCCCGTCGGGGCCGAACGAGGGCGAGGCCCCGGGGAGGCCCTCCAGCCCCACCTTCCTTGAGGCCGACGCCAGCCAGGAAGATGCAGCGCACCCTGCCTGGCGCTCGCCAGCATCTGGGGGCCGTCCTGGCCAGCGCCAGCGTGGTGGTGAAGGCGCTCTGCGCCGCGGTCCTGCTGCTCTACCTGCTCTCCTTCGCCGTGGACACACGCTGCCTGGCGGTCACCCCGGGCTACCTGTTTCCACCCAACTTCTGGATTTGGACGCTGGCCACGCACGGGCTGATGGAGCAGCACGTGTGGGACGTGGCCATCAGTCTGGCCACGGTGGTGGTGGCCGGGCGCTTGCTGGAGCCGCTCTGGGGAGCCTTGGAGCTGCTCATCTTCTTCTTGGTGGTGAATGTGTCCGTGGGGCTGCTGGGGGCCTTCGCCTACCTCCTCACCTACATGGCTTCCTTCAACCTGGTCTACCTGTTCACCGTCCGCATCCATGGCGCCTTGGGCTTCCTGGGAGGTGTCCTGGTGGCCCTCAAACAGACCATGGGGGACTGTGTGGTCCTGCGAGTGCCCCAAGTGCGTGTCAGCGTGGTGCCCATGCTTCTGCTGGCACTGCTGCTGCTGCTGCGGCTGGCAACACTGCTCCAGAGCCCAGCCCTGGCCTCCTACGGCTTCGGCTTGCTCTCCAGCTGGGTGTATCTTCGTTTCTACCAGCGTCATAGCCGGGGCCGAGGGGACATGGCCGACCATTTTGCGTTCGCCACCTTCTTCCCTGAGGTCCTGCAGCCCGTGGTGGGGCTGCTGGCCAACGTGGTGCACGGGCTCCTGGTGAAGGTGAGGATCTGCCAGAAGACGGTGAAGCGCTACGACGTGGGCGCCCCGTCCTCCATCACCATCAGCCTCCCAGGCACAGACCCTCAGGACGCCGAGCGGAGAAGGTACCGTGCCGTCTCCACCACCCCCGCCTTGCCAGGCTAGCTCCCTGACCACTCTGCTAGGACTGAGGTGTCTTCCGTCTCGGGCCTGGTAGGAGTCAGCACTTAGGGGTGTGAGCTCTCGTAGATGTTTTGCACAACCTGCTCTCAGACCCCAGCCGCAGACGATATGTCCCATTTTCTTTGCTATTGTGCGAGTCTAACAGGTGTGTAGAATATGGCCTGGCCTTACCTCAGGATGAGTCCTGTGGGAACCGGAAACAACCTGCTGGGCCTTTATCCTGGGAGGAAGGGTGTTGGCAGGATGCCCAGGGACTCCAGAAGAGGCCTGGGCCAGGCCGGGCTCCAGGTGCTGACTCGCACCCTCTTCCTGGACCCGAATTCAGAGTCTGCATTGAGGAGGCTTGAGTGTCACCCAGCTTTACTCACCCCCCTGGCAAGCACGTGTCACTAAATCCAGGGAACAGACCACCTGTGCCACCTCGAGCCTGCTGACCACACCTTTTCTGTATGGGAAAACCAAGCCCTCTGCAGCCCTGGGTGTGCTCGCTGCATTGTTCACTGGGCACATTGTGGTTACCAGTGGGGCAGGTGTTTTATGACTTGCCTCTCCAAGGTGGCCCCAGCTTCCTCACGCCTCTTTTTTTTTTTTTTTTTTTTTTTTTTGAGGCAGTTCCCTGTGCATTTGGCAAACCCCTACTGCTGCCCACCTGAGAACCGGGGTGCTGGCAGGAAGCTGTGAGCACAGAGCTGAGGGGTTGTACCAACATCTTCACCCGAGGCCATGAGCGTTCAGTTAAGCCATGACCGCAGGTGACTGAGCCCCAGATGTCACACTGTGCGGCCTCATTCTGAGCCTGCCAGCTTGGGTCGTCATGGGCAACAAGTCCTCCAGACAAAAGTCCAGCTCAGCCTCATCCAGGGGGATGGGGCCAGGCGGGCAGGGCCTGCAAGGCGGGGCGGCCAGGCCAGCATGGCCCCTCCTCCAGCTGGAGCCCTTGGATTGTTAGGAGTGGCAGGGTGCCAGAAACCCGCACCCAAGGAAGGCAACAGGAGGCAGGTGGAAGGCAGAGTCAGGAGGTGGCTTCTTGGCTGAGCCTTTTTAGTTGTCAGCTTATGTGGGGGTAGGGTGTTGCACCTTCCGCCCCCATCCCCCAATGTGCATCTGACCGAGTGCTACTGCCAGACCCAGAGCACTCCTGAGGAGAGCAGCAGAGAGGAGCAGGCCCATCTGCCTCTTTCACAGTTGCAGGACACTACCTGCCAGCTGGCTTCAGACAGAACTAGCAGTAGCACCTCAGGGAAGGGGGACATGGACAGCAGCAGGAAAGGGTGCCCACCTGCTGTTTGCCAAGCTGGAGAGCAGTGTTAAAATGTGCCGGAGCTGCCTCTCCTGTCTGTCCCCTGGCATGGTGGGAATCCAGAAGGTGGTAAAAGCCATCCCTCTGTGGGTGGCACAGGGGCCACTGAGAAAGGTGTTGCGCGGTGCTCCTCCTTGGTGAGCCAGGCACCTGTCAATTCCCTTCCAGTGGGCCTTTCCAGCTCCCCTACAGTGGGGCTCACTTTGTAAGGGCCCCACACAGCTGTGTTCTGACATGGTCTTAGTGACTTTGGGGATTCTTCTGGAAAGTGTGGCATTGCCCCTGCTTCCTGGACCAAGAACCAAGCAAGATGCTGATGTCAGTTTTCCCCCCACAGACCCAAGCCAGGAGGTTTAAGACAACCCTCTCTTTAGAAGTAATGTTGTGCGCAGGCAAGAGCTCTCATTCCCAGTGACTTGACCCTCCTACCCTTCTGCCATGCACACTGGCTCCAGCCTTCCTTGGGTACTCAGTGCAGGGCCACTACTGAGCAGCCGCCCTGGCGGGCAGTCTGTCCCAGCTACAGCCTCCGGATCTCTCAATCTGATGGCGGCAGCTGGGGGAGCCGGAAGGGTGGGGGAAGGAGCACTGGGCACAGAGGGGAAGAGCAAGCATGATACCAAGGCATGAGCCAAGCCCAGACCTGGGATGACCTGTCCTCTCTTCTCTGGCCCCAGGCAACTGGCACTGAAGGCCCTCAACGAGCGACTAAAGAGAGTGGAGGATCAGTCTGTGTGGCCCAGCATGGATGATGAGGATGAGGAGGTGGGGGCCAAGGTGGACAGCCCCCTGCCTTCCGACAAAACCCCAGCACCCCCAGGGAAGGGGGCTGCCCCAGAATCTAGTCTCATCACCTTCGAGGCAGCACCACCGCCGCTCTAATTCCAGACCGCCTGGGCATGTCACCTCCCCCAGTGGGATCTGCGATGTCCTCAGCGACCCCAGGGCACCACCGCGACTGTGCTCAGTTGAGGGAAGAAGCCTGCTGGAGTTCTGTAGCCTCCAGCTGTTTCTCGCCAACACTACCCAGGACTCCCGCTACCTGGTCCTAACCGCAGACAACCACTATGCCAGACCCGGGCCCCACTGCGGCAAGACTGTGCACCTCAGCAGGCAACCCCACGAGAGTGGCTACAGGGACACTGGTGCCATGGCCCTCATGTCTGCAGCTGCCTGCTCAGAGCCACAAGCTTGGGCAGGGACTTGCCAAATGTGTTGTAGGGCTCTGCCGGCTCAGGAGACAGTGCCTATGGCAGGCTGCACGTCCCTGCCCACTCCCAGACAGGCGATGCTCATGTCAGAGTTTCCCACTGTCCTCTGCCGTGGCTGCAGCTGCTTCTGAGCTGGAACAGCCACGGCCCACAGGGATTTTCTACAGGACCGTTGAGTGGGCAGCCAGGCCCTGCCTCGCAGTATCAATAAAGCAGTTCTTTGAGGTCTGGCTCCTGGGCTCTGTCAGGCCACCTGTCAGCCCTCCACACACTCGGCTCGTTGATAGGGTCCTTCTGCTGGGCATAAGGGTCAGTCTATGGCAGTGCTAGCATGAGCTCTGTTCCCCTTCTGCCAGCACATGCCTGCTGCCAAGCAGCCTCCTCAGCTGTCAATGAGCACTGCTACAACTCCCCATTCCCCTCTGCCTATGCCCATGGCACCTGCCCACGGAGGACCCCTCTGCCCACAGTTGTTAGCCATAGTTCACCCCCAGACAGGTGCTCAGTGCCTGACCCATGGTCAGATAGCCCCAGCCTGTCACTGTCTGCGTCCAACCGCTCATGCTGGCAGACAAATGGCACAGCATTCACAGGTACAGCACAGCCCTGCTTGGGCCCAGGTGGCACAGAGATCCAGCAGCCATAGTTGGGTCTTTCTATCTTTCCCAGTTACTTGTTTCCTTGCACTGATAAGAACCAGCCCCAAGCCTGCGCCATTCCTCCCATGGGTCTTTTTCCATCACTTTATTACCATTTTCTACTTCTGGACGTGCCAGTACAAACGTGTATGGCAGTGTCAGGGAGGCCATCCTGCAACCCCAGCTTTATCCAGACCACAATCCGTGTGCTCCTTGGGATCGCTGAGCAGAGAAAGGAAGCACTTAGCCTGAGTAGCAAAAGTGTCACACATGGGTCTTTGACCCAAGACTACACCAGTGCCTGAAGTGTCCCAACTCAGTCAGCTGAACATCCAAGAGGGTCCCAGCCCCATCTTCTCCACTGAGGGACAAGTCCAAACATCGCATGAGCTGTGAAGGGTTCATGGCTGGATCCTCTTGCGGTATAGGTATGCATTGCTCACCTGGTTCATGATGACCAAGCTGGTGAGGATAGGGCATAGCACAGCCAGGTACCAAGCGACCCCAGTGACAGTGGCAGTAAACCAGAGTGAGCACATGCCCAGCAGGAGGCTGGCACTGCCCAGCAGGTAGCCCACCAGCCCAGATGTGGCATGGTACAACTTGAGCTTAGCCAAGGGCCACCGGGGCAGCAGCTTGGGGTAGAGTAGCCCCACGCCGCCCGAGCACTGCAGCCCCGCCCAGAGCACAGCCAGCAGCCCCGCCTGCCCATGCCGCGTGGCCAGGTGGGCCTTGCCGAGCTGCTCCTTGTGGAGGACGACCAGGCTCAGGCCCAGCAGTGCACACAGCAAGGCCAGCAGCTGCAGGGCCCAGTGACAGCGGGCCCGAGCCTTCCGTGAGAAGGAGCGCAGCAGCGAGCTCTCAGGGGAGAACACCAGCAAGGCCTCGGTCATGAGGAAGGAGAACTGAGGAGACAGAAGGGGAAAGGGCTTCTGGTCACCCCCCAACCCCCAAAGCAGCCGACGGGTCTGGGGTGTGTCCCCTTCTCTTGGTCCCCCTCCCCACTGGCGAGGTGGGGCGAGGCCAGAGTGCAGGCCCCCACCTGGGATAGAAGGACCATCCTTCTATCGTGTAGAGTGCTGCCTCCCCTTTCTTCCCGGGTGCCACTCTCAAATGTCTTCCCTGCTCTTCCCCAGCAAACAAGGTTAGAGAAACAGTACTCATCAATGATTTACAGATTCTGTCTCCATGCCATGGGGCTGGATATAGTTTCTTGGCAAGAACTGGCCATATTGGAGCACTGTTACAGGGTCATTTCGAAGCAGCACCATAAACTAAGGTAAAAGGGGGCAGAGGTACATCCATGTGCTGTTTTTCATCTTCCTTCCTGGCAAGTGGGTGAAGCCCTCCCCCCCCCTTTTTTTTGTGTTTGATAAATATTTGTCCTGTTTCTTGAGCACTCGGGTTCTGGTGTAGGGTATATACCAAGGGGAAGGAATTCCAGCATGTAATAACAGATATTGAGTGTCCACAAGGCTACAGAGACCTGTGTCCATGCCTGTACCCCACCACCACCCAAAAGGGACCCAGGCCCACTACTTACAGCCAGAGACATAAGCACAGGGTGCCAGGAGAACAGGCCTGGAATGAAAAGGGGACACCGTCAGCCCTGCCAGTCCCTAACAACACTGGGAACTGGGAGCAGCCACCTCCTGAGGTGGGGCTGCCCACATACAGACTCCTGCCGGGATCAGAAGCTGTGCTTGTACCCACTGGCAGCAGTCCCTCCCACCCCATTCCCTCCCACCCCCCCGCAAGAAACCCAGACAAGGGGAAAGGATAAGGTTACTCAGTGGGTTCTGGACAAGTTGGAAAAGCTCCACCCCTCCCATTCCCTCAGCACAGAATACCCCTTAGCCAGCCAAGCCTTTCCCAAGCATCAGGCTCAAGGTTTCCTACAGTCCCCGCTCCCTGGGAGACGTCGCCCTGCCCTTCCCAGAAGCCCACTACCACTTGTACTTACTGGAGCCAGGCCTGGCAAGTACAGCCACGAAGATGGTAAAACCCAGGGCTACGAGGTGGGCGGCAGCCCCAGAGGCAGTGCGCAGAGCATGATAGATGTGCGACTCGGTCTCCACAGACAGGGCCATGATCAGCCAGGCCAGTGGTTGCAGCCTGAAAGCATAGCAGCGCAGGCAAGAATCAGGTGCCACTGTCCGCCCCTCACCAGAGAATGGAGGAATATTACCCTCTTCCAAGAAGTTATGATGGACGGGAATAGTACAGCACCAAGACCGGCAACAGGATTAATCACAACGTGACCATCGAGGACCAGGAGCCTGCCAGCGGCCACCTGTACCCAAACGTTATGCACGTCTGGCCCACCTTAAAGGTAAGGAGGGGCAAGGCCCTGTACGACTACAAATCCCAGCGTGCTCAACGCCCTCGCGGGCGGGAGGGCCGGCTAGGAGGGCGTGAGGCACCATGAGGCACCACGGAAGTTGTAGTCCTCAGGTGCAGCTGGAGCGTGAATCCCTACGCGCGCTTCCTCCCCACGGACCGCTGGCATGCTGCCCCTCTACTCTAGGGATCCGCCTGCCTCACCCGCAGCACCGGCCCGACACTGTAGTTTTCTCCAAAGAAAACTGGATACTCTTGAGTCCTGCCGTGCGCACCGCCGCTCCGTTGCGGAACGACTTCACTTCCGGGTGCGACGCCTACCCACAGGGGCTTCCTGGAATGAGCACAGCCCCACCTTCCTCCAGCCACGCCTCTGAGCCGCGCTGCGCAGGCGCTGTTCAGCGAACCGCGTCGCCGCTGTGTGTGCGCGCGCAGCCCGCGGTACCCTGGTGGTCCAGGCTTCCCAGCCGCGTTTGACAGGTGTCCCCCGAAGTGGGGGCGCCCCTCGCGCGCAAGAGACAAGGAGCCACGGGCGCAGGCCCCGCCAGCACCATGGGCAGCAGCTGTCGCATCGAATGCATATTCTTCAGCGAGTTCCATCCCACACTGGGACCCAAGATTACTTACCAGGTAACTCCCGGGCTGGCGGGATTGCAGAGGGAAAGAGGGATGCACTCAGGAGCCAGCGGGCTGCTCAGAGGGGCTGGGTCTCCGTGTGCTTGCAAGTATGTTGCTCCTTCAGTTGCAGTCAACCATGAGCCAAGAAGATCCAGAGCAACACCCCGGTTCCCAGTGGCAGGGGACACACACTGTCACATCAACAGCGTTTGTAAGAAATTGGATTTTGGGGTCCCAGAGAGAATCCGGGTCCTATGACACAGGAGGAGGTGCCCACGAATATCCCCTCCGCCTGCAAGTAATACACAGGAAGCTGGGTGACAGAGAAGAGAGTGTTGTGGGTCAAGGAGTAAGCAACTGAAAAAGCCAGGAAGCAGCTGTCTGGAAGTGCCCCTTCCACAGGTCCCAGAGGACTTCATCTCCCGCGAGCTATTCGACACAGTCCAGGTGTACATCATTACCAAGCCAGAGCTGCAGAACAAGCTTATCACTGTGTGAGGCCCCAGCCGGGTGGGGGTGGAGGCGAGGGTCCCAGCAAGACAGGGCAGGCCTCAGGGAGAGCCTGATTCTGTTCCATCCATCCAGCACGGCCATGGAAAAGAAGCTGATTGGTTGCCCCGTATGCATCGAACACAAGAAGTATAGTCGCAATGCCCTCCTCTTCAACCTGGGCTTTGTGTGTGATGCCCAGGCCAAGACCTGTGCCCTTGAACCCATCGTCAAAAAGCTGGCTGGCTACCTGACCACCCTTGAGGTCTGCAAACAGATTTGCTTGGGTGCTTGGGCAGGCTGAGTGGGTATGTGGGGTTGGGTGATCTGTTGTTTCCAAAGTCTCTGCACCCCCAGACCTGGGACCCTGCCAGCCAATTCAGGGGTCAGCCAGGGTCCCCCAGCAATGTACCCACCGTGCTGTTCCTGCTTCCTCCAGCTGGAGAGCAGCTTCGTGTCCACGGAAGAGAGCAAACAGAAGTTGGTGCCCATCATGACCATCTTACTGGAGGAGCTAAATGCTTCTGGCCGGTGTACTCTTCCCATTGGTATGGTCCAGCTCTACAGGGGCAGTGGAAGACTGGAGGAGGAATGGGAAGGTGGCAGGGGACAGTAAGCCCAGTCATTGAGGAGAAGGTTGAGACTCGGGAATTGGTGGCCAGGAAGTGGCTGTGTACAAAGGTGATGATGTGCAAGGTGGGCCTGAAGTTGGGAACTGAACAGGGGAATTCGCCAGCTGCATCCTCTGAGCATGTCCCTTTCCCTCTCTGGACCTGTTCTTTCGTTCCATAAAAGGGGAAGATCGGATGATGATGGGCATCTGGCACAGTAGTGGAGTCACCCCTTGGATGGACACCCACATCCCATATGGGAGAGCCTGTTTCAAGTCTTGGTTGCTCCATTTCTGAGCTAGCTACCTGCTAGTGAATGGGGAGGCAGCAGAGGGTGGCTCAAGGGCTTGGGTCCCTGCCACTCGTGGGAGAGAGCCACATTGAGCTCTGGACCCCTGGATCTGACTCATTCCCTAAGGTGTGGGAATCTGGAGAGTAAGTCAGCAAATGGAAAATTTGCCTCTCTCTCTCACTTGTACTCACTTTACCATTCAGACAAAATTTATTTTAAAAATGGGCTGGCTGAGGGGATGAGATTAATGCAAATCACAGCTACCTGTCTGCTTCAGGGGATTCTAGGAGGCCTGGGAATGTCCCTTGGGAAAGACAGGACTGAGGATGTGGGTGGGTCCCCTGCAGATGAGTCCAACACCATCCACTTGAAGGTGATCGAGCAGCGGCCGGACCCTCCCGTGGCCCAGGAGTATGATGTACCTGTCTTTACCAAAGACAAGGAGGATTTCTGTAACTCGCAGTGGGACCTCACCACGCAACAGGTATGCTGCCCCTGCCCAGATCTCATCATCTCAGCCTGGCCACAGTCCTGGCCTTTGCCCACCCTCCGGCTCCAACCTCGCCTTGCTCTGTCTAGATTCTGCCCTACATAGATGGTTTCCGCCACGTCCAGAAGATCGCAGCTGAGGCAGATGTGGAGCTCAACCTGGTGCGCATTGCCATCCAGAATCTTCTGTGAGTGAGGTTCTGGGAACACTCAGGTGGGGAGAGCCCAGGGCTCCTAAGCCTAGGGGGTAGAAACAGAGTACTCCCAGGAGCTGAGCTCTGCAATCTCTTCCAGGTACTATGGCGTCGTGACACTGGTGTCCATCCTGCAGGTGGGCAAGCCTGGGATGCGGTGACGTGAAGTGTGAGCCACGTGGCTGGACCCAACCAAAACTGTTGGGCTCCAGAGCCCCTCACTCAAACCCCCACACCCTGTGCTTTCTGCCTGCCCCGCTAGTACTCCAATGTGTACTGCCCGACACCCAAGGTGCAGGACCTGGTGGATGACAAGTCCCTGCAGGAGGCGTGTCTGTCCTATGTGACCAAGCAAGGTAATGGCAGGCCTGGGGGAGGGGAGCTCTTGAGAAGAGCGGGGCCCCCTGGCACACTGACCCCTGACACCTACAGGGCACAAGAGGGCCAGTCTCCGAGATGTGTTCCAGCTGTACTGCAGCCTGAGTCCTGGCACGACCGTGCGAGACCTCATCGGCCGCCACCCCCAGCAGCTGCAGCATGTTGACGAGCGGTCAGAGGGGCATGGGGGAGGTGTGCCTGGGCATACGTGGAACCTCAGGTCAGAGAGGAAGCTCAGGTTTGCAGAGAACAGAGCCACACAGCCCTGCCAGTCTAGGAAGGCTTCCTGGAGGTGATGGGCTTGGAGGCCAGGTTGGCTACTGAGACAGTCTGAAGAGGAGACCACAGGAAAGGGCTTGCCTGGTTGGAAGCAGGCCTGGCCAGGGCTTCACTCTCTCTCTCCTTCGGCTCTCACCCCAGGAAGTTAATCCAATTTGGGCTGATGAAGAACCTCATCCGGCGACTACAGAAGTACCCTGTGCGTGTGTCTCGAGATGAGCGAAGCCACCCTGCCCGCCTCTACACTGGCTGCCACAGCTATGATGAGATCTGCTGCAAGACAGGTAGCAGCAGGCACGGTGGGGTAGAGCCCCATGGCCAAGCCCGGGCCCTTGCCCTCACCTGCACCACCCCACCCAGGCATGAGCTACCATGAGCTGGATGAGCGGCTGGAAAACGACCCCAACATCATCATCTGCTGGAAGTGAGTCTGGCAGTGGCTGGATGGGCATGTCCTGCCTGCTGTACTGGTGCTGGACCAGTAGGTTAGTCCTGCTGGTCAACCTTCAGTTCTGTAAATAAAGGCATCCTGCTTCAAACCACCTGAAATGAGTCCTGCTCCTGAGCCTGCCACCCAGACTCAACTGCCCACACGCTTGGGCCTTAGTGCTGGCGCCCTGGAGCGCCATCTGGTGGGCAGGACTGACACTGGCCAAGGAAAGGCATCTGCTGATCATAAACAAAGAAAGAGCAGGAAAGGAACCATCAGAGATGCTTGAAGGGTGAAGCAGGAGGGGAGCAGGGACGGCTCTGGAGTAGTTGAGCAAGAATGGCCTTGCCAAGGTGACAAACTGAAGCCTAAAGAGGAAAAAAGAAACAAGGGCAAAACCTTGAGGCTTCATAGCACAGCCTGTTATGTCACGGCTTGGGATCCCCACATTTCCAGGGCTTTCGATCCTGCTCCCTAATGCCCTGGAAAGGCAGTAAGCACCACATGGGAGACCCAAGTTCCTGACTTCAGCCTGCCTGGCCTAGCTGTGAATGTGGGCAATTGGGGAATGAACGACTACATGGAAGATTTCTCTCTTTCTCTACATTTTTTTTTTTAGATTTTTTTTTTTATTGGAAAGTCAGCGTTACAGAGAGAAGGAAAAACAGAAAGATCTCTCATCAGCTGGTTTATTCCCCAAATGGCTGCAATTTTGAGCTGACCCAATTAGGAGCCAGGAGCTTATTCCAGGTCTACGGTGTGGGTAAAGGGTCCCAAGGCTTTGGGCCTTCCTCTACTGCTTTCCCAGGCCACAAGCAGGAAGCTGGAAGGAAATGCAACAGTGGGGATATGAACCGGTATCCATATGGGATCCTGGTGCATGCAAGGTGAGGACTTTAGCCACTAGACTACTGTGCCAGGCCCTCTCTGCCTTTCAAATAAACTCAACCACAAAACCTTAATGCCAAAACCAATGGTGGACTGGACGGAAGCAAAGGAAGACGCAAGAATCCAAGTCCTGAGGTAGGAGAGGAGGCAGATAGATTCTAGTGAGCTGCTATGGCCCTGGTTTTTTTATGTGTTGTGTGTGTGTGTTATTTTATTAAATTTTAAAGATTTTATGTTTATTTGAAAGGCAGATTTACAAAAAGGAGAAAGATCTCCTATCCGCTGCTTCACTCCCCAAAAGGCTATAACAGCGCTGAGCCAATGTGAGCCCAGGAGCTTCTTCCAGGTCTCCCATGTGAGTGCAGGGCCCCAAGAGCTGGAACCATCCTCAGCTGCTTTCCCAGGCCATAAGCAGAGCAGGGTCAGAAGTAAAATACCCAAAACTAGAACCAATGTTCATTTGGGATGCGCACACTAGCAGACAGCTACTGTGGTACCCCCAGGCCAAAAACTTGAGGTTCAGAGACAAGCACAAAGCTGACCCATGGGGGGGGGGGGGGCAGGGAAGCGTTATGTGTTATGGACATCTTTCAGGCTCCTGGTTGTGCCTTGGGGTCAGAATGGAAGGAGGTGGGCCCACCACGGTAGCCTAGCAGCTAAAGTCCTCACCTTACAAGCTCTAAGATCCCATATGGGTGCCAGTTCCTGTCCCTGCGGCCCCGCTTCACATCCCGCTTTCTGCCTGTGGTCTGGGAAAACAGTCTAGGACACCCAAAGCCTTGGGACCCTGCACCCACACAGGAGACCTGGAAGAAGCTCCTGGCTCTTCACTTCAGATTGGCTCAGCTCTGGCCACTGCAGCCACCTGGGGAGTGAATCAGTGGGTGGAAGATCTTCTGTCTTTCCTCCTCTTTGTAAATCTGACTTTCCAATAAAAATAAACCTAATTTAAAAAAAAAAGAGTGAAAGGACGTGTGGAGAGAAGGCTGCTGCAGCTGACAGCAAAAGCAGTGGCCCCTGGGGCCACCACAAAGAGAAACTGCAGGCTGGGAACAGAGCCAACAGATGGAGCTGGGTGCGAGCATCATGGAAGCCACCATGAGGGACATCCGGTGGTCAAGACGGCACGGCCAGGACCAGCACGAACTCTCAATGGCTAAATCCTCATCTTGCAAGTGCTGGGATCCCATGTGGTTGCCGGTTCATGTCCTGCTGCTCCAGTTCCCTTCTACTGACTGGGAATGCCCAGATGAGGATGACCCAAAAGCCTTGGGATTCTGGGCACCCACGTGGGAGACTCAAAGGAAACTCATGACTTTGGATTGGCTCAACTCCGGCCCTTGGGTCCATTTGGGGAGTGAACCAGGGGAAGACCTTTCTGTCTCTCCTCTCCATAAATCTGATCTGCCTTTTCAATAAAAATAAATACTAACAAAGCAAAACAAAAAAAGATAGCACGGCCACAAGAACGGACGGAGTTCACGTTACCCCAAGCGTGTGCCGACCAACTTACTATCTATCAGCAGTCCCAGGCTCCAGGCATAGCAGGCCTGCAGTAGGAGGACTGGAGCATAGTTGCCATAAACAATGGGCTCTGCGACGCTGAGCCGCCGGCAGGGGCGCAGCCGAGGCCTCTCGGCGCAGGCGCAAGCTCACGCGTTTCCCTGGCAACTAGGATCCACGCGCTCCCAACTGCCCTACAACTGTCCTGTGGCCGGCTCTGGTTCCACGGCAGTCCGGCGTCCTGACGTGTCTGTCAGCACCTCCGCTTCGGCTGCGGCCTGAAGACCCTGGCCCCAAGATGGGCGACCTGGAGCTGCTGCTGCCCGGGGAGGCGGATGTGCTGGTGCGGGGCCTGCGCAGCTTCCCCCTGCGGGAGATAGGAACTGAAGGGTGAGCCGGCCCTACCAGAGGCACAATCCCTGAGCTAGGATCCCGAATGGGGGAGCACGGGCTTGACATGGGGGGAGGGCTTGCCAAACTGAGGGGCAGAGAAGTCTACCAAAAAGAGGTTAAGACTCAGTAGGAAGCAGCCTGCCTCCCCCCCACACACACACACACACATTCACACATAGTGCTCAGGCACGCACCTGCACCCACACATCCACGCACCCCATTTGGGGCAGGTGGAACCGGCAGCACGAGAACCTGGAGAAGCTGAACATGCAGGCCATCCTGGATGCTACGGTCAGCCAGAGCGAGCCCATCCAGGAGCTGCTGGTCACCCACGGCAAGGTACACCTCACCACTCTACTCCTAAGAGTACCCCAGCCATCCGTGCCCTCCCCTCCTCCTACCTCCAACCCCAGGGCAGCATCATGGCATCCCGACCTGGGCAGAACATGGGCAGGTTAGGAAGACAGTCATGGATCCTAGAACAGGAAATGAAGCAGGGTGAAGGGCCCAAGCTGAGGGCACCCCTGAATTGACTATAAGGCCTGAGGAGACCACCACTGAAATGTGAATGGGACCACAGCATTGAAGGAGGCCAGGCAATGCCTGACTGGAACATGGGTCAGGGGCTGGCACCAGCAGGTGACCCAAACTACCTCTTGACAAGAGGGTTCCTCTACAAGAAAAAGGTGGTCCCACTACTCGAGGAGAGAATAGAACTGGGCACTAAATGCATAAAATGACCCTGAGGCACACAGGAGAGCCAGGGGAGGGGGAGGGCTGCCCAGAAGGGATGCCCACATGGAGTGTGGTGGAGGAGGGTGATGTGGCTGCAAGTGCAGGGAGGTCAGGGACCAAAGCAGGGTATCCCCACTGGGAGGTTGGGGGCAGCTGGAAACAAAGGGGAAATGCTGGGAAGTGGATGTATGTATATGACCCAGGAGATTCTCTGGGGGAGTTTGCAAGCTGAGTGGTAGGCCAAGCCAGTGGCAGGAAACTTGCTGATCTGTGGCAGGCCCCTCTGCCATCCACCTTACCCCACCCTCCCAGGTCCCGACACTGGTGGCAGAGCTGATCAGTGTGCAGCTGTGGAAACAGAAGGTGTTCCCTGTATTATGCAGGCTGGAAGACTTCAAGCCCCAGAACACCTTCCCCATATACATGGTGGTGAGCTGACCTCTAACCTACATGTCCCCACCCCTCCCGAGGGCCCCAGCCCTCCCACAGCAGCCCCTATGGCCCTGTCCCCTGTCTCTGACAGGTGCACCACGAGGCCTCCATCATCAACCTCCTGGAGACAGTGTTTTTCCACAAGGTGAGGCTCAAGATGCAACTTGGGGAGGTGGGAAGGCCAGCAAAAGCTGGAAATGTCCCCTCTGCCTGTCCTCCCCTCCTCCCAGGAGGTGTGCGAATCTGCAGAAGACACTGTCTTGGACCTAGTGGACTACTGTCACCGCAAACTGGCCATGCTGGTGTCCCGGAGTGGCCAGAGCAGTTCCCTTGAGGAGGAAGACTCTCAGGACACCACCCCCATGCAGGTGAGCTGAGGTTCCCTGAAGTTGGCTTGTCACAGGCCTGGGTCTCCCAAGACGTGTGCAAGTAGGGGCCCCAGCCTGAACCCCATATGGTACCCCCTACCAGGAACTACAGAAACAGGCTGAGCTGATGGAGTTTGAGATCGCACTGAAAGCTCTCTCGGTATTGCGCTATATCACCGACTGTGTGGACAGGTGGGCATCCGAGCCTGGGCCCTTCCTTGGGCTGCAGCAAATGACCATGAGCAGCTCCAAGGCTTGGCTCACTTTCCCCTCCTGCCCACCCACCCCCAGCCTCCCACTGAGTGTCCTGAGCCGGATGCTCAGCACCCACAACCTGCCCTGCCTCCTGGTGGAACTGCTGGAGCACAGTCCTTGGAGTAGGCGGGAAGGAGGTAAGCATCTCCCCCCACCACGCCCTCTGCGTGTAGGACAGTGGTCAGAACTGAGGAGGGCAGCTGGCTTTGCCCAAATTGGGGTTGGACCTGGGCTCTGCAGCAGTCAACACCCTCATGTCTGTTCCTGAGGACTTGCCTTGCTCTAGGGCTGGCTGCATGGTAACCTGGACAAATCCTGGGGTGCCAAGCTCTCTCCCGCCATGCTCAGGCCATAGCCAGTGCTCCCTCTAACCCTCCACCCAGAGAGAACTCACTCCCTGCTCAAGTTGTGCCGGTTCCCTTCCTCAGGCAAGCTGCAGAGATTTGAGGGCGGCCGTTGGCATATAGTGTCCCCTTCAGAGCAGCAGAAGCTGAGCAAATTGGACGGGCAAGTGTGGCTTGCCCTGTACAACCTGCTGCTGAGCCCTGAGGCCCGCTCTCGCTACTGCCTCACAAGCTTCGCCAAGGGACAGCTGCTCAAAGTAGGACACCCCCCTGCCCCACACAAGATGCTACCCCTAGATTCCACCTCTCCCAGCCCATCTCCTCAGTGCCCCTGCTGTTTCTCTTTGCCCAATCCTCTTTGTAGACCTGAAGCTTGAGGTGACATAGCTCATTCCAGAGAGGCCACGTAGATGCCTTCAGCCCACTTATAGACCTTCCCTAATCTCTAGTCCCCTGGCCAGCACATGATCCACACTGACCTCCCTTGGATTTCCCCATAGCTTCGTGCCTTCCTCACCGACACCCTGCTGGACCAGCTGCCCAATCTGGCTGACCTGCAGGGTTTCCTGGCCCACCTGGCCCTGGTGGAACCCCAGCCCCTTAAGAAGGATCTGGTGCTAGAACAAGTAAGGTACCTGTGAGCTGGCCACTCAGGACTTTTGTTGTCTGTCTTGCCTGTTCCTCCTTGTTGTTCTCCATGTCTCTTTCTCTAGATCCCAGAAATCTGGGAACAGCTGGAGCGAGAGAACAAGGGCAAGTGGCAGGCGATCGCCAAGCACCAGCTTCAGCACGTGTTCAGTCCATCTGAGAAGGACCTGCGGCTGCAGGCAGCAAGGTAAGACGGACTGAGCTGCCAGAGCGGTTGGGAGCCCTGAGACCCAGATGTGGGCCAGTGCTTCTCCACTGCCTCTGCCCCTGCCGGTCCTTTGTAGATGGGCGGAGACCTATCGGCTGGATGTGCTGGAGGCCATCGCTCCAGATGGACCCCGCTGTGGCTATTGCAGTGCTGGGGCCACCAAGCGCTGCTCCAGGTGTCGGAAGGAGTGGTACTGCTGCAGGTGAGGCATCACACACACCCACACCCCTCTCCTCCAGCCCTGGGATCCCTCCCCCTAAACACTGCCGCCCTCACCAGCCTGACTGCCCACAGGGAGTGCCAAGTGAAGCACTGGGAGAAGCACAAGAAGGCTTGTGTCCCAGCAACGCAGGATGACAGAGCCAAGTGAAGGACTGTAACTGCCCAGGGATGCCCCATCCCTGTGCCAAGGCCACCCACCCTGAACCCCCTGATCCCCTCTGGCTTCTTCTGCCCTGGACCGCTGCTGCAGGCTGCCGGGTGGTGGTGAGCTCAGCAGAGAGAAGTAGAGCTGCTGACCCATCCCCACCCCCATTTCCTGCCCCACCCGTGGGCAGGCAGAAGGCGCTGCCTCAGCAAACTGGAAGGGGGCCGGATGTGGGGACCCTCTTCCCCCCCACACACACACCCGTAGCACCATAAAGCTGGTCCCCAAGACACACACCGCGCCTGTCTTCGTTGCGCTTTGCGGTCGTGAGCCGACGTGAAAGAGGGAAGGGAAGGGAGGAAGGGCAGAAGTTAGTTGACAGAATCCCCCGCCCCCGCCCGGCCCCGCCCCGCCTGCGGGTCACTAGCACAGTCCCCCAGCCCTGCTTTGCAGCGCACTGCACTTCTCAGACTTTTTCCCGCCGCCCAGTCTCGATCCTAGGGGCGGCGCCCAAAGTCCCGGCCCACCCCGTGGCCCCGCCCGCCCTCCCCAGGATCACTAGAGCCCAGGGCCGGGCTGAAGCCCCGGTCCGGGACTGAACCATGTCGGCGGAACCTGAACTCATTGAGCTGCGGGATTTGGCACCCGCCGGCCATGCCGGTCCGGGCCGCACCCGACTGGAGCGTGCCAATGCACTGCGCATCGCGCCTGTCACCACGCGCAACCCTGCAAGACAGCTGGTCCCAGGCCGCGGCCACCGCTTCCAGCCCGCAGGCCCAGCCACACACACGTGGTGCGACCTCTGCGGTGACTTCATCTGGGGAGTCGTGCGTAAGGGCTTGCAATGCACGCGTGAGTAAAGGCTTCCCACCTCCCCCAACCGTGCACGCACCAGCTGCAGTGCAATGGGCACCCAAGAGACGGGCTGCCAGGAACAGCCACTTGCATCAGTGCAGGCTGGATGGAGGGGGTCGGCGGGGACTGGTTCCAGGGACCCTTCTCCTAGGGTCGGGTGGGAAGTGGTGTATCCCTTGTGGCACCACACCCAAGGCTGGGAATGGTGGGGCAAAGGTGACTGCCTGTGGGTAACAGGTGCTGAGAGGGAACACCATCTTTCATGCCCTCTGGACCTTCTGGAGAAAGAAAGGGCTTGTGCCTACTGCCCTCTAACCCCTGCTCCCAGGCCTGTCTTCCCAGAGACTCACTCACTGAACCACTGTCCCCCTCTAGAACCACTGGTGTAAAGGGAAGTTTCCTAACTCCAGACATGGGCATGCCCTCCTGGGACCAGATACTGTGAGAGCCCTGGGTGGGCCCCCTGGTTACAGGCAAGCCTGGATACCAGAGTCCATCTTTAGCAGACACTTGATTCAAGCCAACTGAGCCAGGTGGAAGTGGACCACACATTACACATTCACACCCCCCTCCCTCCACCTCCCTTCTGCCCTCCTGGGAATCTCCAGAGGGGCTGCTCTCTCCCAGGCTCTGTGTCTTGATCACTCAGGCCAGGAACTTTCCACAGCCTGGTGACCCCTTGTGCAGGGATCAGTGCCCACAAGTAGGCCCCAGGCATCCAGTAATCAAAATAAAAACAAAATTTCCAGCTCGTGCCAATGTGTCGCCTGGATAGACAAGCACTGCTGTAGTCCACAGAGGCACTTAGGGATTGGACCTCAGGCCCACGTGTGTGCTGGAGGGAAAGCCACTCAGCCACACAGGTGCATCTGTGAAGTCAGGAGCTGTGGAGGGGGATGGGACTAACAGGATGCAAAATGTGACAAAGAAGAGGACACTCCGTTGAGTAGAGTAGCGGCAGGGATGAGAAACAGACAAACTGGATGTGTAGAGATAAGACAAAGACTCAGCATGCATTTGGGGTTTAGGCTGAAATAGCTTCTGTTGGTGGTCGGTGGGGGGGGGGAGACCCTAGTTAAGGGGAGGAGGGGAGATGCTGAGTAGTTAAATATTGCCAGGATCATCTCCAACGCCTGTGGGACATGCAAGTGAAAGTGCTGGCTTGCCAGACTTGACCTTCTCCCTATCCCAGAGGGAAGGTGGTGCTGGACCTTGGATCCGGAGCACAGAGGCCCAGCGCAGCATTCCAGACCCAGGCCCCAACCTCACCATTAGAACCTGGGAGTTCGGGCAGAGCCAGCTAAGGAACCTGCAGGGGAGTAGAATAGCAGTACAAAGTGGCCCCTGCAAGCGGTCCTAGCCCAGGCAGTTTCCTGTAGGGAGAAACAAGCCCACCTTGGGGAAAGTGGGCTAGAGGAGACTGTGAAGGCCGGTTTTCTGGGTAGACCAGTATCTGAGGTTAAAAGGTATCCCCTTCGAAGTAATGAGAAGGAACTCTGCTAGGCCTGCAGCCCACATTCCCAGGAGTTTTGCAGACGCCTGTCCTCCAGCCCCAGGGATTCCACACTGCTGCACACGTCTGCAGCAGAGTAGGAACCAGTCCTGTTAAGACGCTGCCGACTGCAACAGGCCCCCAGGGTCTGCCGCGGGCCTTCCGGGGCTAGAGCGCCTCGGCCTCACCGCCGGCTCTCTTCTGCAGACTGCAAGTTCACCTGCCACTACCGTTGCCGCGCACTCGTGTGCTTGGACTGCTGCGGGCCCCGGGACCTGGACTGGGAACCCGCGCCGGAGCGCGACACCAACGTGGTGAGCGCGGGGTCTGGGGGGCGGGATGTGGTGGGAGAGGTGCCCTAACAGCCGAGGGTCCGGCGGCAGGGACTGCACAGGGCGGGTACCCGCGGGGTCGGACCCCGCGCGCGGGCCGCATTCCGGGGTCTCGCCGCCGAGCTGCGCCGGGCGGACCGCAGGCGCACCCGCCACCACTCCCCACGTCCGCCTTCCGGTCCCGCCCGAGGCGGCGCTGACGCACATGCGCACACCGCCCGCGCCACGTTCCCCGTGGGAGGCGGAGCTGCGGCGAGCTGCCTGGGCGGTGAGGTCATGCGAGGAGGTGACGTGTGCGTGTGTGCGCCGCCGCCCCGCCGCGTTGCTTCCCCCAATGAGACGAGAGCGAGGTCCCGGCCGTCCGCGTTTCAGTCTTTAACGGTTGCGGGTGGTAACGCAAGCGCACTGCGATCCACGCGGCCGCGCAGGCAGGCTCCCTAGGTGGAGGTTGGAGGCTAGCGACGCGCGGGACGGGGGCAGCGGGCGGGCGCGGCCATGGGCGAGGCGGACACTCCCTCCTTCGAGATGACCTGGAGCAGCACGACCAGCAGTGGCTACTGCAGCCAGGAGGACTCGGACTCGGAGCTCGAGCAGTACTTCACGGCGCGCACCTCGCTGGCGCGCAGGCCGCGCCGGGACCAGGTGGGGAGCCGGGAGTGCTGGAGGCGGGCGAAGGGGGCGGCCGCCCGGAACGCCGACCCTCCTCCGGCCGGCGGCTCCGGGTAAAAAGTTAATTCCAGCGCCCCGGTACTGGCTGCCGAGGCGTCCTCTGCTCGCCGTCACGGACCGGTTGAACCAGGAGAAGCAGCTCGGTGGCTTGGGACTGACCGGCAGGACCCGCCTCTGACTCAAACTGTCCGCGCGCGCGTTGTAGACTAGTACCTTGATGCCGCGTTTTTTGTTTTTTTGTTTGTTTTTTTGTTTTTTTTTTTTTTTTTTTCGAGGAAAGGGGCGCTCCCTGGGGCAACTCGGGGAGGAAGTGGGAGGGAAGGCGCCTCTCCGGGAATTGAGGAGGGTGTTCCTGGGGAAGAAGAGGCGGAGGAAGGGAAGTCCGGGCTCTCAGTAGCCCAGCGCCCAGCTCTTGCCGACCCCGATTCTGTTCCTAGCCCCCGGGGGACCCTGAAGAACGGGGATTAGGACTGGATGTCTTTGAGCGTTTAGGAACACTTCACTCCCTGGAGGTGGGCAGGATAGACCGGAGGGCTACAGAAATGTCCAAAAGACAGGTATAAGATACGGGTGACTGACTCACAGGGGCTCTTGGATATCTCCTTTATATGAGGCCCCTGTGCTGGGGGAGTTTATGGCCCCCGGAGTAAGTGTGTGGGACCATGAAGTAGAGTATTCCTAGCCAGCAATGGAGTGGAAATTGAGTCAGACAAATCGAATTGTGGGTGATGTTTCAGGAGTTTTTCAAAGTGTTTGAAAGCAGGTGATGTTCAGTACCCCAAAATCTCTACCCAGAGCTTATGTGCAAGGTATTTGTTGTTCTGTTTAAGGGAGTTAGATCTAGGTGCATTCCCCCAAGTGGTCATGATGGCTAAAATTGGGCCAGGAGCCTTGAAAACCCCATCTAGGTCTCCCAGGTGAGTGCAGGGGCCCCAAGGATTTGGGCCGCCTTCCTCTGCTTTCCCAGGAGCAGTAGCAGGTAGCTGGATCAAAAGTGGACCTGCTGGGATCCATACCAGTGCACATATCGGAAGCTGGCATTGCCGGTGGCTTAGCCTTCAGTGCCACAATGCCAGCCCCAGGGACAAGATTTTGGGTGTGTACTCAGCCACAACCATTTTCTGTTATGGAAAGGTGGAAGCCCACAAGATGCTCTCCAGTGGAAAAGGAGAATAGGAAGTGCTGGCTCAGGTATAAAATGAGTCCCTCAGTCACTGCTGTAGACCACCAAGGCACGGGAGAAGGGAGATCCTGTGGTCCTGGTGAGCTTCCTGGGGACACGGGCAGCTTGGGAAACGGGAAAGGAACGTTGTTCTCAGTTAAGTGGCTTGCAGGGCTCCAGTTTGCAGAGGGCGGAGGGTCCTGTGCTGACTGAGCACGCTGGCATTGGATCAGGAATTCCACCAGGACGAAGCATTGGGCAGTGGTGATCTCAGCTGGGGCTGCGACACTCCCATCCCCACTGGGCGGGTCTGACAGCAACAGGAAGGAAAACTGATGCACGGAGGCCGAGGGAATTTCGTTGTAGTGGTTCGTTCGCAGTCCCAGTCATCCAGACCCATACTTCACCCTTCTGGCCAGGAGCTAGTTCCTGGAAGAGGAGGGGACTGGTTTGGGAAGTTGCTATCCTCCCCACAGCTGGGGCAGCAGGGAAACCCACCTGCTTGGCATCTGCAGCATGTACTTGCCTAGGAATCTGTACCTGTAGTGGGCTGGCACCGAGCCTGGTACTACCTTTTGTGCAGCACTGTATGATATCTGAGGTCTGGCCCCAAGCACCCCACCCAGAAGTGTTGCTGGAGGTGATGGTGGGACTACTGGACTAGTAGCTTATTCAGTCCCCATATTTCCTGCTCTACAGTAGCTCATGGCTCTTTCCTAAGACACAATGGAAAAAACAGGCTGCCACGTCCAGAACAAATCTGACACAGCCCTACTGCAGCACTAGGGTTAGGCTGTGCAATGGGGGCTAGGGTCAGAGTCCCTCCTGAGGCTGGTAAGGTGACTTAGCAGGCTAACTCTCCACCTGCAACACCAACTTTCATCCAGGTGCCAGTTTGTGTCCTGGTTGTTCCACTTTGATCCAGCTCCCTGCTTGTGGCCTGGGAAAACAGAAAATAGTTCAAATCCTTGGGCCCCTGAATCCACAAGGGGGCTTCTGGCTTGAGATTGGCCCATCTGCAACTGTTGTGGCCATTTGGGGAGTAAACTAGTAGAGATAGAAGACCGTTGTCTCTGTCCTTTCTGTGTAAATCTGCGTTTCAGGGCCTGGCGCAATGGCTCAGTTGGTTAATCCTCCACTTCCAAGTTCCCATGTGGGCACCAGTTCATGTCCCAGCTGCCCCATTTCCCATCCAGCTCCCTGCTTGTGGCCTGGGAAAGCAGCTGAGGATAGCACATAACCGTGGGACCCATGTGGGAGACTTGGGGAAAAATGCTCCTGGCTTCATATCGGCTCAGCTCCAGCTGTCCCGGCCGTTTGGGTAGTGAATCAGCTGATGCAGGATCTTTCTGTAAATCAGCCTTTTCAATTAAAAATAAATAAATTTTTAAAATTTTGTCTTTCAAATAAAAATAAACCAATCTGAAAAAAACAATCTCTCCTCTCTCCTTGGCTCCTGGCCTTCAGCTGCTCCCACTTCAGCCGTCTCCTGAGGGCCACACAGTGCTGGAGAGAAGCCAGCTGACCGCCTTTGCCATCTGCGCTTGTGGTGCGCAGAATCGGGAGCAGTGACAGATGTAGGGATGCTGTCTTCTGGGAATCCGTGTTCATCCGCCATCTCCATAGGCTGCCTGTTTCCCTTGGGTCTTTTTTTTTTTTTTTTTTTTTTTTTGAGCGCACTTATCTGTTGATTCATTCTCCATTCTCTGGACCACACTGGAACCTGGAGCCCTGAACTCAACCCGGATCTCCCGTGTGGGTGGCGAGCCATCACCCACTGCCTTGCAGGGCCTGCGTTTGCGGGAAGCTGGGATCAGGAACATAGTAGGCATCTCAGCCCCAGGCTGAACACCCACCCCAGCCTTATTTTTCCAGGATGAACCCGTGACATGGGAGACACCGAATCTTTCTCAGGCTGAGATTGAGCAGAAGATAAAGGAGTACAATGGCCAGATCAACAGCAACCTCTTCATGAGCCTGGTGAGTTGAGTGCTCACGAAGGGGCTATGAGGAGAGGCGGGAACTCAGCTGGGCGCCTGATGCCCAGAGGGAGGTTCCCAGTCTAGCCTTCTCAGAGTGTCATTTCTCCCTCTATAGAACAAGGATGGCTCCTACACCGGCTTCATCAAGGTGCAACTGAAGCTGGCGCGCCCCGTCTCAGTGCCCTCCAGCAGGAAGCCCCCCTCCCTGCAGGATGCCCGCCGGGGCCCAAGCCGGAGCACAGCCGTGAAGCGCCGCACCTCCTTTTACCTGCCCAAGGATGCGGTCAAACACCTGCATGTGCTGTCTCACACACGGGCCCGCGAGGTCATTGAGGCCCTGCTCCGCAAGTTCATGGTGGTGGATGACCCCCGAAAGTTTGCTCTTTTTGAGAGAGCTGAGCGTCATGGCCAAGGTTTGCTTCCTACCCCGCTGAGTAAGGAAATGGGAGGGGACTTCAAAAGTTCATGGAAAATAGAATTCAAAGCTAAGTTTATTCTGATGCAAATAATTTTAGAAATGCATGCAGTTTTTTTCCTGAACTTCAGGAATACCTGTGTGTGTGCGCGCAAGCACGCTTGTGCACATGTGTACTTACCTGCCGAGGCAGCTCCTCCTCTCACTCCTCTTCTCCCTCCCTCCCCTGCCTGATCTTCAGTGTACTTGCGGAAGCTATCAGATGAGGAGCAGCCCCTGCAGCTTCGGCTACTTGCGGGTCCCAGCGAGAAGGCCTTGAGCTTCGTCCTGAAGGAAAACGACTCTGGGGAGGTGAATGTGAGTACCCAGCCCTGCTTCGTTTACTGCTTGCTCCTGGGCGGGGCAGTGGGCCACAGCCATGTAAAAGGCTTGGGGAGGAATTGGCCCTCTCTCCGGGAGTGGCTGAAGTGAGTTTTCAGGCCAGCTGTACCAAGCCAGGCTCCTCAGAGAGAGCTGTCTTGGCTCTTTCTTGGTTGGAAAATCCTCTGGCAGCGCATCTGGTGCCCAGCAACATCCCAGCCGCACCCACATGCATGCCCATCCACATCCATCCCTTCAGGCATTAAGGCTTTACCCGGAAGCTTTCTGGCTCTGAAGTATTGGGCCTGTGAAGTGAGACAGGGTGGAGTCAGCTGTAGTGTACCCACAGATGAGAAGAGCAGCTAGCCTGGCAATGAGGTGACTACTTTATAGGATTTATGTAGATCCCCATGCAGTTCATGGTGGCTCCTAGTGTACTGTGAGAGCTTCAGGCAGAAGACCTGATTCAGTTAGGCATGTTCCTCATGACCTGGTCTTTCCCAAAAGGGGTCTACTGGCTTGGTGGCAGCTGCTCCATTCCTGTCCCTTTCTACCCCCTGCAGTGGGACGCCTTCAGCATGCCTGAGCTCCACAACTTCTTACGTATACTACAGCGGGAGGAGGAGGAGCACCTGCGCCAGATCCTCCAGAAGTACTCGTACTGCCGGCAGAAGATCCAGGAGGCCCTGCATGCCTGTCCCCTGGGGTGACCTGCCACCCCCCAGGCAGCAGGAGAGCAGGCAGCGCCCAGAGTGTGCTGTGTGAGTGCGGCAGGGCCCACGGCCCGAGGAGTGAGTGCGGTGGAGGCCCTCCCCGGCAGAAGGACAGGCCAGGGCAGCCGCGGAGGAGCTGGCCCCCATGTCCATCAGCAGGTGTGGCCAGCCAGGGCTGCCCAGCATTGCGGCAGGGGTGGAGCTGACAGATGTCTCCTCCATGTATGTCTCAGAGATGAATGTGGGGGACTCTGTGGGCAGAACAAGGTCATGTTCGTTGGCCTGAGGGCCTTTCTCTGTGGGGACAGTTATTATGGAGTCTCACAAGAACCCCCCCCCCCCACCCAGGGATGGGGGTTCAGAGTAAGGCAGATATCCAAGAAGAGCAGGGTTTCCCGCTGTGGTGCCCTCCGATTGGTCCCCCAGCCTGAGGGCAGGGCATACTGGCTGTATGTTGCCACAGGGAGATGCCCCACACCAGGGACTAGGGATACGGGCACTGGGCCAGGACTGTACCTCGTGGGCCCGTCACAGGCAGGGTCTCTCCTTCAGGTGTTCTTGATGAAGTGTGTGAATGTAAGCACTGTGTTGTGGCCTCAGCTAATGCCTCCTGTGGGGAACGGGGTGGGGGTGGCAGTCACCGTCAGGGCCTGGGGCCTGGGAGAATTGGCTGAATAAAGATTTGAGAATCTTCCTGTTGATTGGATTGTGGACTCATTGTGGGCCCATAACCACCTTGGTGTTCCTGATGCCAGAGGCTGCCAAGGGGGGTGGGCAAGTTCAGGGCATCTTTTGAAAAGTGTCTGTGGGATCTGGTGTGTGGAGGTGCAGGTGATCTCAGCTGTCACTCAACATTCTGGGTGTGTAGGGCCGAACACTGGTTGCAGCTGCCATGGCCAACACAGACCAGGCTCATGAAGGAGCTGGTGTGACCCCCGTAAACTGCACACGGCACCAAGGAAATGGCTGTTAATAATTTTCTTGTGGCATCCTTGTGATATGGGAGGGAATGCTCCCGTTGAAGTTTAGGGCTCATCTGGCCAGTTCTTTTAACTGTACTTGGACTGGGCTTCTCTCATCTGCATCAGTGGTGTTGACAATAATATGGCTGTGAAAAGCTGCATGAGCCGGGAGTGCTTCGAGGGAGTTTGATGTCTGAGCAGGTTCTCTGGGTCCAAGCTGGGGGTGAGGGAGGGGTTCGTCAGAAGCGTCCAGGCGGCCACCCGACTCCCGCAGGGGAACCGCAGTGCATGCCGGGGTGCCCAGCCCTGGCCGACGGTCCGGGACGCTAATCCACAGACGGACGGGAGCAGCAGCCAATCAGGGTGGGCAGCGTGAGGAGCCTGCGGAAGCGGAAGTGAAGTTTCCGTGGAGACGGCCGAGCCTGCGGAAGGCGGCGCCGGCGGAGGCACCTGCGATCGGCGGCTGGGCAGGGCATGGTGGCTCCCTGTGCACTGTGAGAGCCGAGCGGCCTCGGGGTCCGCCATGCGTCGGCGGCCCTGACATGGGTGCCACCGGCTCCAAAGCTCGGGGCCTATGGCCCTTCGCCTCGGCGGCGGGGGGCGGCGGCCCGGAGGCGGCGACGGCGGGTGCTGAGCAAGCCCTGGTGCGGCCTCGAGGCCGAACCGTGCCACCCTTCGTATTCACGCGCCGCGGGTAAGGGCGTGGGTTCTGCCCCGGGGTGGGACCGCCGGGGACGCCGCGCGCCCTGCGCTGGGGTACTGGGCTCGGCCACAGCACTCTGCACCGAGACAGGACGACCCCCCTCTCTCGGGGCCCCATCGGAGCAAGGGGGTCGGGAAAGCCGGGCAGTGGGCTCCGGTGGTCTGACCGTTCAGAAAGGGCTTTCTAGTGGAAAGTAGGCTTGAGTCTTGTCCTTGTGGGACCCCTCCGCACGTCTAAACTAAGAGCCCTGTGAAACTTCGGCACCCCTTCATTGCATCCCTTCTAATGCTGTGTACGAGTGAAGGGCGCTCAGCCTCAAACACCTCCACCTCCCACCCCTGATACTTACAAGGGAAGAATGACCTTCTGTTTCGACTTCTTCCCTTCCACAGTTTTTTGGAATGTTAAGAGTAATATTTGGAAAAACAGGACTGGGTTTGTGTTGGGGGTTAAGGGAGAAGAAGATCCTCCTTCCATTTGTATTCTTCATTGCCACAGCCCTGACCTACCCCTGTCGCTTCCCTTAAGGCCCAAACAGGACCAGCAGGTTGGCCCAGCCCTGGGGGTCTCCTGGAGTCAGATAGTGGTGGTGATGGGGATTTGGCTGTAGATGCCAGGGGGACCCTCTTGTGGCAGTTTGGCTACCCCAGTCTCTTGGGTGCAAGACAGTGGTCTTGCCTGCTTTATGCTCCCTCCTCACCTAGTCCCCGACACTGAGCCAGCAACTACCACCAGCAGACCCAGGCCCCCAGCCTAAGTTACCCCCCAAGTCCCATCTGGAGGCCAGGACATAATCCTGCAATGACTGGCCATGCTCATGGCCCCGAGAATGAGAACTAGCCTTGGGAGCCCAGACAGTGAGTTGTTTGGTGTGGCTTCTATTCTTGAGATCATCTTCACAGAGGGGTACTGGATAACCCATAAACCCTGAGCAAAGGCTTCTCTGTATGACAGTCCTGTCTCGATTCCCTCATCACTGTGGGAGTGGCCCCCACTGTGTTGTGCGTTGTTGGCCATGACCAGGCAGGGGCTACAGGCCAGCCCGTCCCCATTCTGCTTCCAGCTCCATGTTCTACGATGAGGACGGGGATCTGGCTCACGAGTTCTACGAGGAGACAATCGTCACCAAGAATGGACAGAAGCGGGCCAAGCTGAGGCGGGTGTATAAGAATCTAATTCCTCAGGTGAGGGGCTGGGAGCCTGCGGCAGGTGTGTGGAGGTGACCCCAGATGAGGGAGGGTGGGGAAGAGGGAGGAGCTGCAGCAGCACAGAGCCGTGGAGTCGACCCCTCAGCGGCCTCTGTCCCCATGGCAGGGCATCGTGAAGCTGGATCCCCCTCGCATCCACGTGGACTTCCCCGTGGTCCTCTATGAGGTGTGAGCCCGGGCGGTAGCAGACACAGCACCCCTGCCCCAGCAAGAGACCCCAGGCTCCCGGTGAAGACTCCATTGAGGAGCCCAGGCTGGGGCCCACAGCCCTGAATAAACTCCGTTGGCCCAGAACCTTCGGTTTGGACAGGGCTGTCCTGTGCTGTTGATGGGGCATCAGGTTGTTGTGTGTGGAACAGGTGGTGGCAGCAGCTGGCTGCCAAAGGCTGACCATAGAGGTACCAGCATCTCCTCCCCTGCGGGGCATCCACTGGTCGGGAGAGCCTGGTTCCTTGCCTGGCCTGGGGGCCCAGCCCCGTTAGAAGCTACAGCACTTTACAAGCAAGATCTGCCTTCTTCCAGCCCCTGGGCTGTCGGGGGGGCTACACCAGTGGGAACTTCCTTCCCCTCACTTCCCTCTCCCCTAGTTGGAGCATTTCAGCCGTTTGCTACCTCGATTCCTCCTGTGTTGGACCGGGGCTGGGGGCAGCACCAGCCCAATTCGCCCTGCCTCCCTGCTGTTTGTTCCTGGCCTCCTTGGACATACAGGTGGCTAGCTGTTGACAGGAATGGGGACTGGCTGGGGAGCTTTCTCCTCCAACCAGAGCTGGACTGACCCTTCCCTGTGCAACTAGTTGCTGGCCTTTCTCTCTCACCTCTAGTAGTTGAGAGAGTACAGGCCAGGGTCAAGAGGGATTGTAGGCACCTGTGCCTATGGGGAGGTGCACCCACCTCTGTGTTCTGATCTCTGCATGGGAGGGGGAGCTGTGTTGCCACACCTGTGGTCAGGGACAAACCCCTAGTGCTGATGCCTGGAACAAGAGCTATGAGTAACCCGCTCCTCCCCTGTGTCCTCACCTCTTCAGGCTCAGCAAGGGAAAGTACTGGAGCCCCTTGAGAGGGACAGAAAGGAGGGGAAAGCCGGAAAAGAAATACTGAAAATGTGAAGGTTTGTACATAGTCTTGTTGGGCATGATGTCCGGGCAGAGCCTGCTCTCTAGGGAGATGATTTTTTTTTTTAATTTTTGTGTAAGCCCTGTGCTTTTAGACTGTGGGAAATGACTTGGGGAGGGTGGCACCCAGCATAGGAAGACTGTTGTGTTATTTGTTCAATTTCAATAAAATTATTTGTAGATCCTGCATCTGAGAGTGTCGTCCCCTGGGGTTGGGACACCTGCTGTCTGTCTCTTGGCCTCGGTACTCTGGTCCAAAGGTTAAACCTGAGCCCTCCCTGTGGCCATCCCAGCTGTGGCCAGTAGGTGGCGATGTAGGCACATGGACTTGGCCTGCACGTTCCCACAGCATCCACTCCGCCACCGGTGGCACTCCTGCTCACAGGTCCATTGTGTTGTGTGTGGTGAGGCCCTCTGATTCCAGATCCACTCTGGACTTACCCTTCCCTCCCTACCCCCCAAGGTGGAAAGGGAGAGTGTGAAAGTTCTGGAATGGCTTTTGTGCTCTCAGCATTGTGGGCTAACTTCAAGTGAGATCGCAGCCCAGGCCCTCCTGCACCTCAGAGGCTCAGCTGATGAGGAACAACAGCCAGATGGGTGCCACTCAGCGGGGGGTTCTGCAGCCCTGCCCCAAGGCCTCGCACGGTGACAGTGCACCTGGCGCTTTTGTTCCAGCAGGCACAGTTCCTTTCCTGACACTATCTCTTCACGGACCCTCTGCCATGTCTGTCATTCCACACCCTGCGGACCTTCTGCCTGTCCTTCCAGCCTCCCCTGTGGCTGGTTCTCTGCTTGGCCTGATGGGCCCAGCTCCCAGCTATGGGGAGGATGAGTTGAGGGGCATGGCTTCTGCTCCCCTCTCAGCAGTTTGTGAAGTCCTGAGCAGAAACAACACCCTGGGGAGAAACCAGGATTTGCAGTCCTGTAAAGTTCCTTCCCCCACTCCAAGTGACCCGAGACCAAGACCCTGTCACCCACACTGGCTAGGCAAGGGGTAGGGCTCTCCTGTGCTAGGTGGCATGGGCTCTCCCACCGCCAAGGTCCCAGCTGGGGGAACTCCTGCACCATTCTAGCTGACACCAGTGCTGGGAACAATGGCAAGCAGGGCAGTGCTTCCCCGCCACCTCCTGCTGGGCTGTGCGCACTTCCTTCCTGCTGACTGCCTCAGGAAGTGTCCCTGCCCTGGAACAGTCTGGCCCAGGCTGCCTTTATTTTCCCAGGGGTCCCCACCCTTGGGGCTTCCAAGACTCAGTTGCTTCGGAAGCCAGCTCAGCAGTACTGCATGCCCCCCCATGGCCATTACCTGGGCTGCTTGGTCCTCAAGGCAGCCGCCTCTCCCAGCCTTCTGTTGGGAAAAGGACCCTGGGTAAGGGGACCACACTCCCTTCTGAGCTGTAGAATCACCTGGGCCCAGAAGTGTGCCCTGTGGAAGCCACACGGTCACACCCACATCAACATGCTGTCCTCACACTCAGCATACTTCTGCCCACAGTGGAAAAAAACGGATTCAGCTCCTGGAAGTTCCTGTGGCCACCCCCCACCCCAGCGAGGGGGGCTTCCCTCACTGCTGCCCTTGAGGATGAGGCTCCCCCCACCAGGGGAAGTTTTGAGGGAGAGGTTCCCCGGGTCCAGCAAGCTGTGTGCTCAGGAAATACTGGCACCTGAATGTGGCCCACACTGCCTTCCTGTCACCTGGCACAGCTGGTGGCAGCAGATCCTACTCAGGAAGAGTGGGAGTGGCAGCCTGCCAGCGGGGCATGCAGGAGGAAAACCGGGTCAAGGCAATCTCCTCCCCGCCCCTGTTTCTGGCCCTTTCCTCTCAAGGGGCAGCAGGAAGTGAGGAGAAAGGGCTGGGATGGGAAGCCAGAGCGGATGGGAGGGAATGGGGTTTATCAAGTCCCCCGCAGGCAGCAGCAGGTCCAAGTAGTCTGGTCCGCCCCAGAGGCTCACCCCAAAGAAGCAGGGAGGCTGCCGACCTGTTGGACCAAAGGACTTAACATACAGGTGAGTCTGGCACCCATCGCCGGTGTCCGGTCTCCACCTCCACTCCCCGCTTCCCCAACACAGAGAAGGAAGAGGCTGGCGACCCCTGAGGGGAAACAAAGGCAGTGGCCTTAGGACCAACCGAGGTCGCGGTCCAAACGCGAGCCTGCTCCCCACCAGGAGGGTCTCAGGAAAGAAAGGGCTTAACCCCTAGAGAAGCCCCCACCCGCCTGGCGGCTTGGCACCCTCCGGGAGCTGACAGTGAGCTGTGGAACTCCCCACAGCTCCCCCACACACCCCGAGACTGGCCAGGAAAGAGCTGCCCCACGAGGGTCAGGCCCCGGGAGCCCAGCGGCAACCCAGCGCTCGGGGTTGCCAGGACAACCGCGGCTCGGTCCGCAGGGCCAGGGGGCGGGGCTGGACCCCTTCCCCTGGACGGGCAGCGGGCGGGGCTGCCCTTCCGACCGCAAAGAGGAAGGCAGCTCAGATTTGCGGGAGGCGGGGCATTACTGGATGTCAGGGACCGGATCAGTTCAAAAGTCCCTTTTGCTACACAAAGGGGTTCTTGGGCGGAAGTCGACTTTGGGGGAAACAGAGCCAGATCCGTCAGGGCCCCAGTGGAAAAGCGAGGCGGGGAAGGAGGATCCCACAGCACCTCCTCAAGGCCAAGCGGGGGCAAGACACCTCTCTTAGCTTCCCCCTTCACCCCGCCCTCCTCCCTCGCCTGTGCTGTCCCTTTAAGGGGCTGCGACTCCGAGCGACCGGGCGGACTGTACCACCCGTCGTGGACTGTGGGGGGGGAGCTGGAAGTTTCTGGCTCATTGGGGCTTGCTGCTGAAACGCCGACAGAAATCCAAGTTCATAGCGGTGTCCTGGTCTCAGAGGGGCGATCACGTTCTTCTGCAGAGGATCTAGGGGTGCTCGAATTCAAAACGCTACGTGGCGTCGAGAGACCGAACCTTCCCGCTGGGATCTCAAGTCCAACCCCGGGCCCGCCTCCACGCTGGATTCTTAAAGGGCCCGCGGGCCCGAGGGCGGAGCCAGCAGAGGTGCTGAGCCCGGGCTGTGCCTGGGCGAGCGGCCGGAGCGGGCTAGGCTGGCCAGGCCCGGGATGGCGGTGGCCCTGGCACCTGTCCCCTGGGCACCCGGCGCGAGGTGAGGGTGGGCAGCACGGACCTGGCGGCTCCTTCCCCACAGGCTGGGCTTCGAACCTCCGGGGGTGCGTCCAGGGAGGCGGGCCGGGAGCCCCACCCCCACTCGGCCGGGCTCGGGCCCCACGTGCGGGGCGGGGGCGGGGTCCCGCACAAAGGCCGTGCTGAGGGTTCTCGCCCCCGGTCCAGCTCGGGCTCGGCGGCGTGGGCAATAGGCCGCCCGCCCGCATTCCCGGGAGCGGTGGAGGGAAGGGCTTGTGGGGCCAGTGCCTCCGTGGGAGGTCCTGCTGCCCCTTTGTCCCCGCAGGGCTTCCCGCCGCTGAGCCTGGGGATCGTGGGCCAGACCAGGGGCCTGACAGCTTCGCGCTGCTGCTGGGCGTCCTGTGCCTTCCAACTTTGCAGCCCATTACGGGCTGCGTGCGCCCTGCCTTGCCCCTGTGCTATTATTTCTCTGACCCACGCGTTTTTTCACAGGGTGGGGGTGCAGGGTGGGTCCCGGGAATTGGCCATTCTCTGGAATCCGGTGGGTGGTATGCAGACCCCAGGGGCTCTAGGCAAGCCCAGTTCATCTAGCTCACAGCCAGGGTCACCAGCCCACAGCTGGGCTCCCGTCCCAGCTCTGGAAAGCAGACTTGAGCTCCTGGCAGTGAATCCTGCACAGTGCCTGCCCATCAGTGGCCTGTGGCTTCTGAACAGCCCCGGGCATAGCGCCCTGCTCAGCAAGGGCCTTAGGTTGAGAGATGGGCCTCAATGGGATTCTCTAGACTAACTTGTTTTCCCTCACTTTCCTCTCAGTTCCTGAGTTGGTGCCAGGCTGGTGGCACTCCCTGCAGCTCCCAGCATGCAGGTGGGCCCAGGCCCCACCGTCACACTGGCCCTGGTGCTGGCGGTGGCACAGGCCATGGAACTCAAGCCTACAGCACCGCCCATCTTCACGGGCCGACCGTTTGTGGTGGCCTGGGACGTGCCCACACAGGACTGTGGTCCCCGGCACAAGGTGCCATTAGACCTGAAGGCCTTCGATGTGCAAGCCTCTCCGAATGAGGGGTTTGTGAACCAGAACATCACCATCTTCTACCATGATCGCCTGGGCCTGTACCCGCGCTTTGACCCGGCTGGCCACTCTGTGCACGGCGGCGTGCCGCAGAATGGCAGCCTCTGGGCGCACCTCAAGATGCTGCAGCAGCGAGTAGAACACTACATCCGTTCCCAGGAGCCTCCTGGCCTGGCCGTCATCGACTGGGAGGACTGGCGGCCCGTGTGGGTGCGCAACTGGCAGGACAAGGACGTGTACCGCCGCTGGTCCCGCCAGCTAGTGGCCAGTCGGCACCCAGATTGGCCAGCCGACCGCATCGTGAAGCAGGCACAGTACGAGTTCGAGTTCGCCGCTCGCCAGTTCATGCTGGAGACGCTACGCTACGTCAAGGCAGTGCGGCCTCGGCACCTCTGGGGCTTCTACCTCTTTCCTGACTGCTACAACCATGATTACGCGCAGAACCGGGAGAGCTATACAGGCCGCTGCCCGGACGTTGAAGTGGCCCGCAACGACCAGCTGGCCTGGCTGTGGGCCGAGAGCACGGCCCTCTATCCCTCTGTCTATCTGGACGAGACCCTGGCCTCCTCTGTCCACGGCCGCAACTTTGTCAGTTTCCGGGTTCAGGAGGCCCTGCGCGTGGCTCACACCCATCATGCCTCCCATGCACTCCCCGTCTACGTCTTCACGCGCCCCACCTACAGTCGCCGACTCACTGGGCTCAGCGAGGTATGTTCCTCCCCCAGGCCATGCCCTCCTGCTGCCCGCCTACACGCAGCCCCCACACACCCCTTCCAGTCACCAGGGGCCGGCACAGGCATCCTGCGGAAGCATTAGCATCAATGTACCTGCTTGTACAGTAGATGGAGGCGGGGATGCCGAGCAGTTGGCTAACCCAGGACATGGGGCTCCCCAAGGCTCCAGTGTGCCTGTGACTTGGCAAACTGAGGCCCAGATTAGCTTAAAGGTTTGGGTTTTTTTGTTTTTCAAGATTTTTTTAACTTATTTTTATTGGAAAGGCATATTTACAGAGAAGCAGAGAAAGATCCCCAGTCCTTTGGTTTACTCCTCCTCCCCCAAATGGCAGCAATGGCTTAGAGCTGAGCCAATTCGAACTCAGGAGCTTCTTTCAGGTCTCCCAGACAGGTGCAAGGTCCCAAGGCTTTGGGCCATCCTCTACTGCTTTCCCAGGCCACAAGCAGGAAGCTGGAAGGAAGTGTAATAGTGGGGATATGAACCAGCACCCAGATGAGATGCCAGCACTTGCAGGAGGAGGATTAGCCAACTTAGCCATCATACCAGGCCTTGGTTTAAAGAGAAGGAGGGACTCTGCAGAGGAAAGCAAGAAGGCTAGCACCGGGGTCCATGAGAGGGAAGGGCTGGGGCCTACTCACTCTCTCAGCCTGTGGTTTCAGTCCACCCTGCTGACCATTCCCACCCCACACAGATGGACCTCATTTCCACCATTGGCGAGAGCGCAGCCCTGGGCGCAGCCGGGGTCATCCTGTGGGGCGACGCAGGCTACACCACAAGCACGGTAAGTGCGAGCCACACAGCTGGCCAGAACCCAGTCTCCAGGGACAGGCTATGGGGGGCAGTTGGAGTGGAGGAGGGCGCCCCAGCTCTGCTGCCAGGAAAGAGGAAATGCTGACCCCTTCCCGCCTGGTCGGCTGGGTTCCTGTCTCTGCCTCCAGCCCCTTCTTAGCAGGAACAGGGACTGTGTGGGTGGGATGGTGGGGTGTCTATGTGTACACACACACAAAGGTGTGGCCTGTCAAAAATGGTACATATGGAGTCTCCTTCTGCACCTGTGGGCTAATTATAACTCCTTTCTCCTGCCCCCAGGAGACCTGCCAGTACCTCAAGGATTACTTGACACGACTGTTGGTCCCGTATGTGGTCAACGTGTCCTGGGCCACCCAGTATTGCAGCACGGCCTGGTGCCATGATCATGGGCGCTGCTTGCGTCGCAACCCCAACGCCAATACCTTCTTGCACCTCAGCGCTAGCAGCTTCCGCCTAGTGCCTGGCCGTGAACCTGGCGAGCCCCAGCTGAGACCTGAGGGGGAGCTCAGCAGGGCTGACCTTGACCACCTGCAGAAGCACTTTCGCTGTCAGTGCTACTTGGGCTGGGGTGGCGAGCGATGCCAGCAAGACAATAGGCGAGTGGCTGGGGGCGCCGCGGAGGTCTGGGCTGGGTCCTACCTCAGCAGCCTACTCGCCCTGGCAGTCCTGGTCCTCCCCTGGACCTTGTAGTGTAGGAGCGGTTCCCCCTCCTGGCAACCAAGCGAGCTGACTTCCACCATAAGGGCTCTCCAGGACCTTGAGGAGCTTGTAGGGGCGGACAAATCGGGAGTCTGGCAGGGGCAGAGCCCCAGGGATGCCTACCAGGGCATTCATACCAGCTCTCACCCCCCTGTTCTAAGGGGGAGGGGAAGGCCCCCAGGAAGTCCCTAACCCCTGGCCCCTGGACAGTTTCTTATTATTATTTTGGGGTCTCTTATAAATTAAAGACAAACAATGGCTTCTGTGCTTATACTTTCTGCACCCCCACCGCATCAGGGCTTGTGAGAGAAGTCTTGGAGTTTGCCGTGAGGTTGAGCTCAGCTCTGACTCGGTGAACCGCTCAGCTGGGGACTTGCGATCTGTGAGATGCATTCACCAGCTAAGCGGCTGCGGCACAGGCTGCTGGACACACAGGTTGTCACTTCACCCAGCACTCAAGGGCCTTGCCTTCTCTGTGCTGATTGGAAAGGAGTCAGGCCCAGCGCTATGCTGCTACTGCTTGCCTTGCTCTTCCCCCAGCCAGCTGGTCATGGCCTCCTGGCCTTGCCCAGCCAGGGATGAAGGGAAGAGAAAGTGTCCTCCACTGCTGTCCCCACAAGCTGCTCCCCAACTGGGTCACAGTCTGCTCTCAGGTCCAGCCCCAGTCTCGCTGGGGGAGCCATCCTGAGCAAGGGCAAGCCTGCAGTGTGGCCTGTCCCAGAAGAGAGAAGTAGCAGCCGGAGTGGTGCCATAACTCCCAGCTGCCTCCCACCCCTCCCCTGGGCTGTTTGCTGGGCACCTGGGGTCCCCTGCCCATCCGTGATGATTCATCCACATGGCACTGTGTTCAGGAAATGTGGGGCTCTGGGCAGACTCCCTCAAGACCAATAGAGTTGAGGGAGTGGCAGCAGCAGCAGACAGCCTGGGGAGTGTCCTCTAGGATGGACTTTCCATACTGAACTTTGTAACTGGGCAGCTGGGCCCTGGGGAGCAAAGCATGGGTGCAGGCCAGAGGAAGCGGGGGCCCAGCTGCCACCCAAAGGACACAGCTGGGTTCAGGCGTGTCTTGTGGGCAGAGGCAGGAGGGATAGCCCCACCCAGGGTGGCACCAGGCCTGATTGTACCTGATGACAGTCACCATGTCACCTATTCAGCAAAGCACTGGGAAAGCTGCCCAGCCTCACTGAGGTCACCCAGTCCTTCTTGCTGGCTGTGGAGAGGAGGCTGGGGTAAATTCGCACAGTAGAGAAGGAAGTGGACATCAGGGGGCCCAAGTGTTTGTGGCCATGGCAGGCAGAGGCTGACCAGAGGGAAGACACACGTGGTGGTCTCAAAGATGACACAGTAGAGCTCACAGAGGGAGGACAGGAAGGAGGAGGTTATCTGCGACCTCCCCACACAGATGTAACCTAAATGTAAGTGTGAGCACCCCACCGTGCCTATAACCTCTCAACACAGTAATCCTGTCCCACGCAGTTCTATGTTTCTCATCTGGCTGTGACCCCACACAACTGTGACTTCCACAGAAGTGTGACTTGTGCCCATGCAGCCATGACTCCTCTTTACAAACCCAATTTCACCTCCTGAGACTTCTCCCAGCAGAACTAGAGGACAGTGCTAGGGAAAGTGCAGCTTGGGACTAGCCAGGACTGCCGCCCCTGCGCTTGAAGTTAGGGGGCAGCAGTGGGCCTGGGATGGTGTGAGACAGGCAACTCAGAGGTGAGGCAAAGCAGGCAGACAAGCAGGCCTGGACAGATCCCAGACACATGGCTGGGATCCAGCCAGCCCTGCAAGAGCAGACCAGATGGGCTTCCAGCCCCTCACTCCTTCCTGCTTTTCCCAACATGAGTGCTTCGCCCTGGGACTGAGCCAGCTGGAGAATGCCAGTCGCCTGGACTGTGCCAGCCTCAGCACTGACCGAGTGTCTGGGGTCAGGGGCTGCCTTGTTCTCCTGTCTTCTCAGCCCTGACAAGTTGTGCCAGGCTCTCTGGGTGTCCCTGGTCAGCACCAGGATTCTAGTTTCTGAACAGAATCAGACCCAGGTCTGGGCCTTGGCCGATGTGCCCAAAGTCCCTGGCAACCTAGACCCTTCTAACCCTCAGTCTCCTGCCAGCCCAGAGGACCCAACCCAAAAAGCAGTCAAGTGTGTCATTGTCCCATGAGCTGCTATGCTCCCCTCGGCTGCAGGCCCAGGCACCACTTTCTTCCCAGGCCAGAATGGGGCGCTTTTGTCACCCCACCCTGGCAGGCAGGCCTGGACCTGAACACGAAGCCGCTTCTGAGTCCGTGAAATGTGCAACCATGAATGAAGGGAGGGGCATGTGTTCCCAGATAGACCCGCAGCCACACAGCAGCAGGTCCCACGCTCGCACATGCATGCCGCTGAGGTGTGTGCAGAAGTCCACATGGTCCACAGGTCACAAAGATGCAGTTGTTGATCCACATACACGAAGGGTAGTGACAGCCTGGAAAGCATCAACACAGTCCCTCTCAGAAGTTCCCCCCACCTCCCAGGCACCGGAGATCACTCAGTGGTCCACAAAATGGCAGTGTAATTAGATGCAAAATAATGGGTAGATAATGAACCAAGTCTGGATTATATTCATAGTTATACCATCATGGTTTACACACACACACACACAATTTGAAAGGCAGAAACAGAGATTTCCCATCTTTTGCTTACACCCCTGAAGCCTCTGACAGCAGGGAGTGGGCCCAGAACTCAGTCTGGGTTTCCCACTTGAGTGACAGACCCAGCTGCCTGACCTCTCATCTGTTGTATCCTGGGATGCACATTAGCCGGAAGCTGAAGTGGGAGGTGGGGTGAGGACTTCTCAGCCCTCTAATACAGGATGTGGGTTCCTTAAGTGGTGTCTTTGCCCAACGCCTGCCCCTAAAATATTTCAAGGGGCAGGCATTTGGCGCAGTGGTTGGGATGTGTCTATCCCATGTTGCAGTGGCCTGGGTTCAGATCCTGCTGCTTGCTGATCCAGCTTTCTGTCCATCTGCATCCTGGGTAGGGTGGAGAATTGCGGCAGTGGCGGTTTGAGTCCGCGGATCCCTGCCATTCGTGTAGGATTCTCGAATGTTCTGGACATCTGAGCAGTACACCAGTGCATGGAAGATGTGAATCTTCTGCTTTTCAAATACATTTAAAATAGATAAAATGAAGTAAGAATGCATTATGGAAAGGAAGTGTCTATAAAAGCAAAAGGCCCTCCCAGGCCCTGACACCCCAGCTGCCTGAGGAAAATTGACTCCAGCGCTTGCCACGCTCACCCACACTAGAGCCAGGAAAGCCAGGACAGCCTACAGAGTGGGCGGGACCCCTGCCGGCCCCACCCCTACCACCCGAGCAGCCCAGCACCAGGGCCCGCCCCTTGGCCCGCCTGGGGCCTGGGCGGTGCCAGCTCCTACAAAAGCTCAGAGTTTCCAGTAGCAATTTCCTCCTGCTGGAGTAGCTGAGGCCAGATCACCTGGCCTGGCCCTGCCTGGGACGCTCCGCCTGGGGTCGGGAAGCCTGCAGAATGTGGCCCTTCAGCTCTGAGGTCAGTAGGGAGGGGTGGGCAGGCGGGTGGGTGTGCAGGAGAGCTGGGCTGGCTGGGGTGAGCACCACCTCTTCCAGCAGTCGGAACCTTGGGGCAGCCTTGGGGCTCTCTGTGCTCCCTCCTTCAGTGGCCCTTAGGGAAGGGGGAGGGCAAGCTTAGGCTGGGGGAGGGGGGGCGGTACGTGGAAGCAGATGGCAGGGTCCCAGCCCCAGGAGTGGTTTGGATGTGGCCTCGTTGCTCCTTGCCCCCCCTCCCCCAAGTCCCTTCTCACCCACCCTGAATCCTGCCGATCTGGGTCTAACTGGAAAGAGTCCACCTGCCTGTGCTGGACTCAGAGAGTTCAAGACCAGGCCTCAGCTTTGTCTCCCCTACCAGGTTTTCCCAAACATACCTTGTGCAACTGCAGGCCACCTGCTTCACAGCTGTACTCTCTTTCTGACCTTACTCCACATCCCGCGAGGTTCTGGGGACCCCAGGGTGCCCCCCAAGCCCTTCATTACTGTCTGGAATGCAAACACCCAATGGTGCCTAGAGACACACGGCGTGGATGTGGATGTCAGTGTCTTCGATGTGGTTGTCAACCCGAGACAGGCCTTCCGTGGCCCGAACATGACCATTTTCTACAGCTACCAGCTGGGCACCTACCCATACTACACGCCCACGGGAGAACCCATATTCGGTGGCCTGCCCCAGAATGCTAGCCTTGATATCCACCTGACTCGCACCTACTGGGACATCCTGGCTGCCATGCCCACAGCTGACTTCTCAGGACTGGCAGTCATTGACTGGGAGGCATGGCGCCCACGCTGGGCCTTCAACTGGGACACCAAAGATATTTACCGACAGCGCTCACGGGCACTGGTGCAGGCAGAACACCCAGATTGGCCTGCCCCTTGGGTGGACGAAACAGCCCAGGATCAGTTCCAGGGAGCTGCAAAGGCCTGGATGGCAGACACACTCCAGCTGGGGTGGACACTGCGTCCCGGTGGCCTCTGGGGCTTCTACGGCTTCCCTGACTGCTACAACTACGACTTTTTGAAACCCAACTACACAGGCCAGTGTTCCCAGGCCGTCTTGGAGCAGAATGACCAGATGGGCTGGCTGTGGAATCATAGCCACGCCCTCTACCCCAGCATCTATTTGCCTGCCGCACTTCAAGGCACGGGCAAAGCGCAGGTGTATGTGCGGCACCGTGTGAGTGAGGCATTTCGGGTGGCACTGGCCGCCAGAAACCCTGATCTGCCAGTGCTACCCTATGCCCAAATCTTCTATGACCTGTCAGATCACTTTCTGCCCCTGGTGAGTTTCTTCCAGGATTCCACCCACCTGGTCAAGCCTTGGGTCCAACAGCTGGGGCTGGGCAAATGTAGAGGCACCAAGTGAGCCTGGGGTACCAATTGACTACCTGTTTTTGTTTGTTTGTTTTAAAGATTTATTTATTTTTCTTGGAAAGGCAGATTTACAGAGAGAAGGAGAGACAAAGATTTTTCATCTGCTAGTTCTCTCCCCAAATGACTGCAACAGCTGGAGCTGAGCCAGTCCAAAGCCAGCAGCTTCTTCTGGGTCTCCTACATAAGTACAGGGTCCCAAGGCTTTGAGTCATCCTTTGCTGCTTTTCCTAGGCCATAGGAAGGAGCTGGATGGGAAATGGAAAAGCCAGGACACTGATTGGCACCCATATGGGATCTCAGCGCTCGCAGGGAAGGATTAGTCAGTTGAGCTATTGCTTCAGTCCAGAGCATCTGCCTTGTGCCTAGCTCTGTGTCTAGCTTTGTGCCAAGCTCTGGGGGGCATGGGCAGTGGTGTAGCATTTGCTGGAAAGTTATAGTCCTATCCATGGGGGCATTCGCAGGCTAGGGGCCAGGTTCACAAAAAGGCCAGAGCTGCCTCAGAGAGTGGCTGGGACTTCCTTGCCCCATCTCTGGTGGGTGGGGGGTTAATGCCATCTGCTCAGGGAGGGAGGGTCCTCCAAGCCATGTCCTCTTCCTTCCCAGGAGGAGCTAGAACACAGCCTGGGAGAGAGTGTGGCTCAGGGAGCAGCTGGAGTGGTGCTCTGGGTGAGCTGGGAGAACACCAGCACCAAGGTGAGTGCAGGCCCCCAGCAGCAGCAATCGGCCATCTCTGACATACTGACCAGTTGCTGGTTGGGCTGCTGCCTGGTGGTGGTGGTGTCACTAACCCATCCCCCTTCCCTTCCAGGAGGCATGCCAGGCCATCAAGAGGTACATGGACACCACACTGGGGCCCTTCCTCCTGAATGTGACTAGCGCAGCTCATCTATGCAGTCAAGCCCTGTGCTCGGGCCATGGCCGCTGTGCCCGGCACCCTAGCCACCCCGAGGCCCTCCTTGTCCTCAACCCCGCTAGCTTCTCTATCCGGCTCAAGCCTGGTCAGCCCCTGGACCTGCAGGGTGACCTCTCACTCAAGGATCAGGCACGCATGGCTGCGGAGTTTCAATGCCGCTGTTACCGTGGCTGGTGGGGAGCACGCTGTGAGCAGCAGGTGAGGCAGTGACAGGCCCCAGGCTGGGTAATGCACACCGAGAAGCTGAGCTGCCTCCAACACAGGCACAGTCATGCACAGGTCAGAGTCACAGTCAGGAGTGCACTCAGCCACCATCACAGGTGGTCACATGCCCTGAGCACTCGGGTATGCCTGCAGAACGGAAAAGCTGCGTACAGAGTTGGCACCAAGGCCAGACACTGTCCTCTCCTTGTCTATGTGTCCCTTCTGGACTGGGATACTTAGCCAGTCTCTGAAATGCAGCAATCACCGGAACCAATATTTACTGAGCACCTTACTTAAGTCCTGTGCTAAGCACTTTCAGAGGACTTATACAGGGCCAGCACTCTGGCAGAGTGGGTTAAGCCACAGCCTGCGGTACTGGAATCTCGAGCAGCAGTTCGAATCCCGGCTGCTGTGCCTCCAATCCAGCCGCCTGCTAACTTGCCTGGGAAAGTAGAGGAAGATGGCTTAAGTGCTTGGGACCCTGCACCTACATGAGTGGGAGAAGTTCCTGGCTTTGGGGAGTGAACTAGCAGATAGAAATGGATGGCTTGTGGATGTACGGTTGTGTGTGTTGCCGGTAACCAGCCGCAAATCCGCTGAGAAACACCAAGCACCCACAGCCCAGCAAATAAAAGCAGTTAAGATTAGAACTATTTGTGGAGCACCCTGAAATGCACAGGCCCTGGGAACAGCTCATCTGGAGTCGGATGGACAGCTTCCCCTGTGGGGCCCAACTCAGCAGAGGAACTTCCTCCTAATTAATTTCCAGCAGGACGCAGGAGGCCTACCAGACCCAGCTGAGTGGCCTTGGATCCCGGCAGGGGCTCGCTCAGCTGAGCCAAATCCGGACCTAAGAGTTATGCCAGAGACCAACGTGGGGGCCCAGTGTGGGGCCGGACGGGAGAGCCCGCCAGGCTCGGCAGTGGCGGGCGGAACGGAGGCGGGGCCGGGGCGAACACGCACCGGATCCGCGCTGTGACGCGCAGAACCGAGGGCGGGACCTCGGCGGTGACGCTCGGACCCGGCCGCCCCGGGAGACCGAGGACCAGACGGGAGCCGCGGGCCGCGACCGCTGCAGTGCGGGGGGCCAGCGCGGGCGGACCGAGGAGGCTGAGTCCAAGACCGCGACGAGATCCCGGACCGTGGACGCGGTTCGTCCCGGAGCCCGGCGTCAACATGTCAGTACCGCCCCTCTCCTTCCCATGCGCTCCCCTCTGCCTGCCCTCCATGCGCCTGCGGCCCCCAGGTGGCCTTGCCGCCCCGCACGCCTGCCCCCCGCGTCGGCCGTTCCCTACTAGAGTGTATCAGCCATAGTCACTCGGAGTCAGCTCTCAAGGCCCCCCATCCTCAAAGCTCCATAACCGGTGACCCCTTAGGAAAGAGGGGGAGACTGGGCAGACCCCTCCCTCCCTGAGGACGCTTGGAGCCCCGCCCCGCCCACAGTGGGTGGGGTCAGCACTGGAGGGGTTAAGCCGGGCGAGAAACCCGGGGCTTCCTCCCTCCCGCCCCACGCAGGCTTGCAGCTGCTCCAGGTGAGGATCGGATGTGTTACAGGTGGGCTAGGGGCAGGGGAAAGGAAGGGACCTATCCTCTACTGACCAGTGTTGAACTGGCTTCCAGCTCCGGAAGGTGGGGAGGGGGAGTGTGTGATTAGAGAGGTGGGGTTCATCCCCCCCCCCAAGCCACCACAAGAAAATCTCCCTCCTAGACTCTCCTGCCTGCAGGTCCTGGGTGGGGGGAGTGGAAGACGGGGCTGGACGCCCCACCTGGTGGCCGTTGGATACCCTGTGGCTATCAGGAGGAAGCTGTGGTATTATCTAAGATGACTGGCAAACTCAAGCCAATGAGGAACCAGGGCTGTAGAGGAACGTGGCTTTGGGATTGCAGCCAAGCCTCGTGCTGAGGGGACAATGGGACCACCATGCCTTGTGGGCCCCAGTCAAGGGAGACTGAGCCTGAGGGGGCGGCAGAAGGGGGGGCACCAGGATGGCTAAGGCAGTGGCATGGCGCTGGCGGTTGGCAAGGCGGAGAACTAGCTGAAGGCAAGCTGGGGTGTAGGGAGAAAGAAAAGGGCTGCCGCTCCCGGAGAGTGTTTGCTCTAAAGGGGGCTGTGGGTGGGTTTAGGCAGCAGGTGTGTCTGCTCTGTGAGGCCAGCCAGCCACAGTGGTGGGTGGCTTGTGAGAGCTGAGATGGCCCAGCTGTCCGGTTGTGGCAGAGTCTGAGGAGCACAGATCTGTAGCCAGAGCGGGCTGGGTCCAAGCCTGCTGGGGGTCCATGGCCCACTGTCATCATTCTCATTCCAAGACAGTTGGTTCCTCCTCCCGGCTCTCCATCTGAGTCAGTCCCCCCAAATCCCCCAACATAGCGAAAGGGCTATATCAGGCCACCTGGGCCAGCAGGTGAGTGTGGAACAAGATCCCAGTTCCAGGGCACATAAACTGCCCCCCTCGCCCACTCTAACCTCCTCTTCCCTCCTTGCCTGGCCCTGTCCAGTCCAGCTATTGTTTCTGGAATAAGGTACCTTGTAGTCTGAGTCTCCCTGGAGACTGTGGTCTTATCCACTCCCACCTCCCAGCCTAGCATGGAGTCGCCTGCCACCTATAAAGAGGTGGTCTTGGCTGCCAACCTGGCTCAGCTGAGCCTAGCTCCTGCGTGTAAGTGCTGGCAGTCAGTGGGCCCTGGTCCAGTCCAGCTGACCTGTTCCCCATCAACCCTCCACACTAGATGGAGCTGATCCTGAGGACCAGCCCAGCTGAGCTGACTCTGGATTCCGCATGCCAGCCAGAGCTGACCCTGAGACTCAACCTGACCAAGCTAACCCTGGATCCTGCACACCAGCCAGAACTGACCCTGAGTCCCAGGCTAGCTGAGCTGACCCTGGATTCCACATGCCATCCCAAGATGACCCTCAGTCCTGGCCCCACTCAGCTTACCCTGGATCAGCAGCCAGAGGAGAGCTCCAATCCCAGCCTGGCTGAGCTGACCCTGGAGCCCGTGCACCACCATCCTGAGCTCTTGGACGCGTGTGCCGACCTCATCAATGAGCAGTGGCCCCGCAGCCGGGCCTCCCGCCTGCACTCGCTGGGCCAGTCCTCGGATGCCTTCCCCCTCTGCCTGATGCTGCTGAGCCCTGGCCACGCACCTCAAGCAGTCTCCACTGTTGTGGGCCATGCCCGCCTCTCCCGTGTGCTGGATCAGCCTCAGAGCCTCTTAGTGGAGACAGTGGTGGTGGCCCGGGCCCTAAGGGGCCGTGGCTTTGGCCGCCGCCTCATGGAGGGCTTAGAGGTCTTTGCTCGGGATCGGGGCTTCTGCAAGCTGCACCTCACCACTCATGATAAACTGCACTTCTATGCACACCTGGGCTACCGGCTCAGCAAGCCTGTGCAGGGTTTGGCCTTCACCAGCCGCCAGCTACCCGCTGCCCTGCTCAGTACCTTCTCCAGGGCCCCTTCACTGCAGCCACCCTGCAAGACTCCCAGCCTGACTGCCAAAACCACCCCAAAAGACCCCAGGGCACCCCCATTGCCACCGCCTCCTCCCCTCCCCGAACCCCTGCCCACTTCACCTCTGTCTTCTGCAAAGTCCCCATCATTGGAGACACAGTACCATGATCTAAAAGGATGCCCCATATTCTGGATGGAGAAAGACATCTGAGTATTCCAGGACAAGATGACTTCTGGGCATGTGCACTGCCTAGCCCAGGACTGGCCACAACCCTCTGTCCATGCCGCTGGGGGGCAACTTTTGCCTGGACAAGTGTCCTGGATACCAGAGGCCCAGGAGGTGGCTCTGCAGCTCTGGCTTGGAGCCCTCCATATGGCTGAATAAAAGCTTCCGTCAGGTGTAGCTGTGACGGTTTTTTGTTGACCCCACCCTCACTTGTTAGATCCCTCAGCTCTGTAGACCCAGCTTGGCCCTGGGGCCACCCGTGGGGGACTTGTGTCCTTTAGCAAGTGGCTGCTCTTCCTCTCCACTCCTGACCTCCCCTGAACTCCCACTGGGTATTGGGCCCTGAACTGGGAACAGGTAGTGGGGAACAGACAGGTGAAGTCTGGAGCCCAGGGATGGACAGGCAAAGCAGGCAGGCAGGGAGGGTGGCTTTGTGCCAGGACGGGAAGGGCAGAGACTGCAGAGGAACTGGGCCAGGCTAGCAAGGGGAGAGGAGCTGAATACTCTGGGCAGAAGGAAGAAGAGGACTATGAGAGCTGCGAGGAGAGGTGACAGGCCACACCATGCCTTGACAGATGGCAGCCACAGGGGTGCTACCTAGGCCTAGGTGGAAAGCTACGTATACAGCCTTGGACTCTAAGCTCATACCCTCTCTCTACCCCCACAGGTTTCTGTCCCCGGGGCATGACCATGTGGCTAGGCCTGGCCCTGGTGCTGGGGGTGGCCATGTGCCTGGGGTATGGCCGACCCTTGCAAGCCCCTGAGCGTGCCTTCTCTGTGCTGTGGAATGTGCCTTCGGCACACTGTGAGGCCCGCCATGGGGTGAGGCTGCCACTTGGTGCCCTGGGCATCATAGCCAATTGGGGCCAGCACTTCCGTGGGCAGAACATCACCATTTTCTACAAGAACCAGTTTGGCCTGTATCCCTACCTGGGGCCCAGGGGTACAGCTCATAACGGGGGCATCCCCCAAGCTGTGCCCCTTGAGCACCACCTGTTGCAAGCTGCCTCCCAGATCCGCCACAGCCTAAGACCTGGCTTCACTGGTCTGGCGGTGCTGGACTGGGAGGAATGGTATCCACTCTGGACTGGGAACTTTGGCTGCCGCCGCGCCTACCAGGAGGCATCCTGGGCTTGGGCTCAGCAGGCGTTCCCTGACCAGGACCCTCAAGAGCAACTCCACAAGGCCCGTACCGGATTTGAGCAGGCGGCCCGTGCACTGATGGAGGACACACTGCAGCTGGGCCAGGCACTGCGGCCCCAAGGGCTCTGGGGCTTCTATCGCTACCCGGGCTGTGGTAATGGCTGGCAGGGTAAGGTTGCCAACTACACAGGCCACTGCCATGCAGCCACCATCGCCCGCAACACTCAGCTGCACTGGCTCTGGGCGGCCTCCAGTGCCCTCTTCCCTAGCATCTACCTCCCACCCCGACTGCCACCTGTTCACCGGCAGACCTTTGTCCGGCATCGCCTGGAGGAGGCCTTCCGCAGGGCCCTGGTAGGGCACCCACACCCCCTACCTGTCTTGGCCTATGCCCGCCTCACATACCGGCGTTCTAGAAGGTTCCTAGTCCAGGTAAGTGGGAATCCCAGGGGAGGTTGAGGTCTGGGTCTGAAGGCCTGGAACGCTCTCCTCCTTCCCTGGGGTTTGTAAAGGGTGGTCCTGGTGCAGGGATGCTGAGGGGGTTGGCTCTGCCCTAGAAAGGGAGGCAAGGCTTAGCCTGTGAAGATCTTAAAGAAGCCAATTGTTTAGGACATGGGGGCCAGAAGAATGTTCTAGAAGGTAGATGTGGGCCCTGCCCTAGCTCAGCCATTCTCTGCCTCCAGGACGACCTTGTGCAGACCCTTGGTGTGAGCGCAGCCCTGGGAGCGGCCGGCGTGGTGCTCTGGGGTGACTTGAGCCTCTCCAGCTCCAAGGTGCTCACCGCCCTCCAAGGTGCCAGGTTGGGTGGAGCGGGCCCAGCCACAGGTATGCTGACACATTCCCTTCCCTTCTCAGGAGGAGTGCTGGCGTCTCCATGACTACCTGGTGGGCACCCTGGGCCCCTATGTGATCAATGTGACCAGGGCAGCCATGATGTGTAGCCGCCAGAGGTGCCATGGTCATGGGCGCTGCGCCCGGAGGGACCCAGGACAGACAGAAGCTTTTCTGCACCTGGAGCCTGATGGCAGCCATGGGGCTTGGGATCCCTTCAGATGCCACTGTTACTGGGGCTGGGCTGGCCCAACCTGCCAGGAACCCAGCCTTAGTTCTGCACCTGAAGATGCAGCATAAAGCTGGGCATCCCTGCCCCTGCCCCATCTGGCCTCTGCTCCAGCTTGTCCAGTCCTGGTGGCATTCTGTCCCCATCTTGCGAGGTCATCCTCCTGAGCACACACCCCTGGGCAGGGGCGGGGGGGATGTGCACAAAATCAGGAGACCCTCTGAGCTCTTCTGACGCCAGGGCTGCAGCCAGCTCCAGGCTGCGTTCCTGCACTCCCCCGGGTCCGGGAGCAGATGGGCCCCCTTAGACAGTTGGTCTTGGCTGAGGTGTGTGAAGGGGAAAGCTGCTGTCTGTACCCTGCTTTCATCATAAAGTGATTTTGTCTTTCACTGCCAAAGTCTGGCTTTCCCTCTGTTCCTCCAAGCTTCCATGATCCCCAGACCCAGGTGTCCCTGGACCTCGGACCTTGTCCAGCAGTTTGCCTCGCCTTGAGGATTCCTCACCTGAGCAGGATAATTTCTAGTTAACATCGGCACCTGGCGCCCAGGTGCAAGTCGCGGAGTGGAGGGGAGGAGGTGGGCACGCAAGGCATTGTGGGTGCATAGTTCAGCCAAAGCGTAAGTGGTTGATGGGTCTCGAGAGTAAACTACAATTCCCGTGGTTCTCAGTGGCAGGCAGCAGAAGTAACCGGGGCGCGCAGGCCCTTGGGAATGGTAGTTTTGGCCGCGTGGTAATGGTTCTGAACCGCATGGCAGAGAACTCGCCTTCCCGGCGACCCCTGTGGCGGGGCGGGGCGCCTCATGAAGATGGTGGCGCGCGCGGCGTGTGGCTCTGGTCGTCTGCTCAAGTCTGAGCGCAGCCCACGGGCCGGCGTCTGGCTGGTCTGGAACCCTCGCCCGCCGGGTCCCTGACCTCGCGCTCCCTGCGCCCTCCACGTCCGGCTCCCGGAATGCCCCGCGCCCGTAAGGGCAACACGCCCCGCAAGGGCGGCCAGCGCCGTGGAGGAGGTGAGTAGGGGGCGACGGGCTGTTGGCGAGCGGCGAGCTGGGACCCTCGCTGGGTCCCCGTTGGTGTCCCCGAAGCTCCTCTCGCAGGGCTGGCGCAGTCTCCCAGAACTCTGCGGAGACCAGCACGTGCCCCAGCAGGCAGCGGCCACGTGTGCGCCCAACTTGAGCGCGCTCCCAGCAGTGACCTGACCTGCGCTTCCGGGCCTCGGTTTCCCCCGTCGCACCTCCACTCCAGCTGCCTGCTGGAGTGGACGTAACAGGGAACCGCTCATCTTGCCCAGCTGTGGTTACTTGATCACGGAAGTTGGTGGAGCCTTTGCTTGGCCGGCTCCAGAGAAGGAACGGAAGGAAAAGAAGGAAGGAAGCCAAGGAGCGGTTAGGAAGCTTAGGACTGGAGCCTTGGGCCTGGCCCTGACCTCGCAGGGTGGCCGAGTACCTGGAGACCTGAGTTGGTCCTAGGGACTGGCTTATCAGCTTCGGCCAGACCCTGGTCCTGGTGCCGTAAACACATATGTTTACTTGGGCAAGGTTGGGGTGCCTGCCAGACATGGCTTCAACCCAGCCGTCGTACTACTGGGCCTGGGTGAGGGAAATACCTCATTAGGGTAGTGACAGTTCTGGGGAATGTGTCAGGGCAACGCTTGGGAACCCGAGAGTCCCTGGGGAAGAGCGTCTGCTGAGTCGGATGAGGTGGTGATCGTCGCACAGACTGCGAGTTGTGCAAAGGCCTGGCATGAGCGGACAGCGGAGTGGGGCTGGGCTGCTTTGGCAAGGTGAGAGACGGGTGAGCAGAGGCCAGCCTGTGGGCTGCACTTTGTTCTGCAGGCAGAGTGTCAGCGCTTCCCAAGACGTGGGGCTGGCCTCATCCGAAGGACCCGTCCACACAGCCGTGTCCTTTGCCAGGCCAGCCTTGGCCCTGGACCAAACCCACAGGGGGCTCTACCCATGTTCTTCCTGTTTCGGGGACCCTTCCCAGGGTTCGGGGGAGCCTGTGTATCAGGAAGGTCAGGAGAAAGCTGTAGGGTTCCCTTTTTTTGGATTGATTTATTTTTGGGGGGTGGGAAGGCAGATTTGCAGAGATCAGGTGCGTTCAGGGTGGTATGGCCGTAGACGACAATGCCTGCAGATTTACAGAGAGGGAGAAACAAAGATTTTCCATCCGCTGATTCACTTCCCAAGTGGCTGCAACAGCTGGAGTCAAGCCAATCCAAAGCCAGGAGTCAGGAGCTTCCTTTGGGTCTCCCACGCAAAGGCCTTGGGTCATCCTACACTGCTTCCCCTGTTCACAAGTAGGGAGCTGGAATAGAAGTGGGGCAGCCAGGACATGGGATCCCAGCACATGCAAGGCTTCGACTTTAGCCACTAGGCTACAGCGCCAGGTCCTAGCCCCCCAGTTTAATTTATTGAAAGGAGTTACAGAGAGGAAGTTTGAAATGTGTGTGGGCGAGCCTGGAGCAGTAGCCTAGCAGCAAAAGTCCTTGCCTTGATTGCGCCAGGATTCCCATATGGGCACCAGTTCTAATCCTGGCAGCCCCGCTTCCCATCCAGCTCTCTGCTTGTGGCTTGTGAAGGCGGTTGAAGACGTCCCAAAGCCTTGGGACGCTGTACCCATGTAGGAGATCCAAAACAGACTCCGGGCTCCTGGCTTTGGATTGGCTCAGCTCTGGCCATTGCAGCCTTTTGGGGAGTAACTCAATGGATGGAAGATCTACCTTTCTGTCTTTCTCTCTATATATATATATATACATGTGTGTGTGTGTGTGTGTGTGTGTGTCTGATTTTGCAATAAAAATCATTTAAAAAAAATTTTGTATGGGCAAAGGTGTGTGTGGAAGGGACCTTGTGCAGTGCCGAATGATATGAAATGCAAGTGTGGATGACATTATGAAGTATGGCATAGCACGTGCTATGTCATGCACGCTGTATGGTCCTCCCCAGGCGCCCGTAGCAGTGCCCAGGCCGACTCGGGGTCCAGTGACGATGAGGCGGCTAGTGAGGCCCGCAGTACCACCAGCGAGTGCCCCAGCCTTCTCAGCGCCACCGCAGAAGACAGCCTTGGTGAGAGTGGGGCAAGTGGAACCAAGGGCAGGGTGGGTGAGGGCTGCGCTGACCTGCCGCCCTTGTAGGGGGCGACGGCGTGGATGAGCAGGGCCAGCAGGAAGACCTTGAAGAGAAGCTCAAGGAGTATGTGGACGGCCTCACAGACAAGAGGTACCCTCTGTCCCCTGGCTCCCTGCACAGCCTGTGGCCGCCCAGTGTGACCCAGGGAGGGCTGGCCTCTCCTGACCCCTCCCTTGACCCTCAGTGCCAAGACCCGGCAAGCAGCGCTGGAGAACCTGCGCCTGGCCCTGGCATCCCGCCTGCTCCCCGACTTGCTTCTGGAATGTTGTTTCACCCTAGCAGATGCCCTGGAAAAGTGCCTCAAGAAAGGTCAGGCCGGGGTGCGTGGGGACCTAGGCTGGGCAGGCACTGGCCCTCGCTGACTGGCAGGCCTCCCGCAGGGAAGGGCGAGGAGCAGGCCCTGGCTGCTGCCGTGCTGGGCCTGCTCTGTGTACAGCTGGGCCCCGGATCCAAGGGCGAGGAGCTCTTCCGCAGCCTGCGGCCCCTGCTCCAGGCCGTGCTCAGTGAGTGCACAGCCAGCCCTGCCGCCCGCCTCCACGTGAGTGTCTGGTGCCCCAAGAACATTCCCCCACCAGATTCCCCAGCGCCACGTGGGGCATGGCTTCCATCTGCTCACCCCTTACCGGCTCTGTCCTCCCCCCAATAGTGTGCTTCGGCTCTCGGCTTGGGCTGCTATGTGGCTGCTGCCGATGTCCAGGTGAGTGGCCTTTAAGCACAGGTGGGAGAGCACTTTGGCACCTAGCTCTCCCCCTGAACCCCTCGCTTTTTCTCCTGTGCCCCCAGGACCTGACCTCTTGCCTTGCCTGCCTAGAGGCTGTTTTTAGCCGACCCTGTGGCCCAGCAAGCCCCGCAGCTCACATGGCACCCATCAGCCTGCATGGTGTGCTGTGTGCTGCCCTGCAGGCCTGGGCATTGCTGCTTACCATCTGCCCCAGTGCCCACATCAGCCGCATCCTCAGCAGGTAGAGATGGCTATTCACGGTGGCAGGGGTGGGGTGTGGGGGTACCAATGTGGTCCCTACCCCAGCATGGAGTTCAGCCTGTCCCCTCCCTAGGCAGCTGCCCCGGCTGCCCCAGCTCTTGTCCAGCGAGAATGTGAACCTGCGGATCGCTGCTGGAGAGACCATCGCGCTGCTCTTCGAGCTCGCCCGAGACCTTGAGGTACCAGGGATGGGCTTGTACCTGCGGGAGCACTGCCTAGCCCAGACTGGAAGCAGGGGCTGCCACAGAAAGGGATGGCAGTAGAGGTGTCCAGGTTGATTGGAGGAGGACTTGAGAGGGACCAGGCAGAAAAGGGTAGGGCTCCCAGCAGAAGAAAGGGTTTGGACGCCCCTTGCTGGCAGCCAGCAGTGCTCAGTCCCTGCCATGCCCCTCCCACCGGTCCCTGCAGGAGGACTTTGTATATGAGGACATGGAGGCCCTGTGCAGTGCCCTGCGCACCCTGGCCACCGACAGCAACAAGTTCCGTGCCAAGGCTGACCGCCGGCGCCAGCGCTCCATCTTCCGTGCCGTGCTGCACTACGTGGAGGTGTGTCTTGAGTGTGAGCGGGGTGTGCCCTCCAGCCAGTGCCACCCCAAGCGCAGCAGCCAATCCCGGCCTGCGGGTCCCTCTCCCCCGGCAGGGCGGTGAATGCGAGGAACAGACGGTCCGCTTCGGCATGGAGGTGCTCTACGTGGACAGCTGGGCCCGGCACCGCACCTACACCTCCTTCAAGGATGTGCTGGGCTCGGGCATGCACCACCACCTCCAGGTGGGAACAGTCCCGGGGTGGCGGGGTTGGGGCGCCCAGCTGAATGGCTCGGGACAGGCCCTGAGCTCTCTACTCTGTCCTCAGAACAACGAGCTGCTACGGGACATCTTTGGCCTGGGCCCTGTGCTGGTGCTGGATGCCGCCGCCCTGAAAGCCTGCAAAATCTCCCGCTTTGAAAAGGTTTGGCATCTCCAGGCACCTCTGCCCTTCCCTCCACCCCTACCCTAGGAGGCCTGGAGTCATGCAAGGGGGCTGGAGAGGGGCCTGGGCTGGCCCCCCGCCCAGCTCACCAGCCCGTTGTCCTGTGTCCTGCCCAGCACCTGTACAACGCCGCCGCCTTCAAAGCCCGGACCAAGGCTCGCAGCCGTGTGCGGGACAAGCGAGCAGACATCCTGTGAGGCGGGACCAGCGGGAGGCTTGTGCGTGCCCTTGCCTGTATTTTTAACAGAACACAGCAGCAGCTGGCCTCTGCCAGCGATTGTCACTTTATTTTTTTAATGACAGAACCAAAAACAGACACAGGGTGGGTGGCTGAAGATCAGGACACCTGGGACCATGACCCTCTGTCCCTGGCTTCAGCCCTGTGGCTGCCTCCTGCCTGGCCTCAGGAGGGCTATGGGGACCCTATCCTTGTCAAGCCTTGCTCCCCATGGAGACCTACTCCCTTGGGGGGCGGTGCCAGCAGGTGCGGGGGCAAAGCTACCTGGGTTGGCTTGGTGCACTGGTGTTTAAAGATGATTGGAGATGAATAAAATAATGCTCAGCTTCTGTGCTCCTGTGCATTTTTACCAACCCACCCTCACCATCCGAGGGTCTCCCCAGTCTCTCAGGTGTTTCCCAGGTCCCTGCTGGGAGGCCGGGCAGAGTAGGGGGCTGCCAGGAGGGCAGCTATTTCTAGACTTTAGAACCCACTGTCCTCTGACCTTGGGCTACCCACAGCAGGACCTTGGCACCACAAAGCTTAGCTAGGCTTGATGTGAAGTGGTCAAGGGGAAGCAGGCATCTATCTGTGTGGTCAGCTCAGGCTCCTGTACAAAACTCCCCCGAGGATGCCAAACAGTTAGTGCTGACGGCAGCAGACGCCTGCCAGTGGTCCCTCGGTCCTCCCCGCAGACACACGCCCCTAGAATGCAGGTCCCATCGTGCTCAGCTGGGAGCTCTGGCCTCGCTGGAGTTGAGCCTCCGCAGCTGGCTGAGGCTGGCCAGGCGGAGCCTCAGGAGCGTCTCCTCCTGGGTTCGCAGCGTGTGTCCCAGGACACGCAGGGATTCACTCTGTAGCACTGGGAATGGGCAGGTGGGAGTCGGGCTCTGCAACTTCAGGCTGCCTCCCCCACCCAACCCAGCAGCAGCAGGGACCCCAACCCACCCACGCCTGCAGCTGCTCCACTGGTCCCCAGTGCCTCGTCCCAGGTACCCACCCCAGGTTCTTACCGCTCAGGTAGACAGCCACAATGGCGAGTGCCAGGCAGGTGAGGATCAGCAATGCCAGCAGCAGCAGGAAGCCCCCACGGCTGTGCACAGGGCCACAGCCAGCCTGGGCACATAGTGATGGGGGCAGGACGCCCAGCAACTCGTTCCAAGGTTGGGCCTCGTCAGTCAGGTAGGGGTGCAGGGAACCTGTGTGATGGACAGGACGTGAGGGCGGGAGCAGGTGCACCTGTTTCCTCCCTGCCTCCCGTACACCCATCCCACACCGTGCCCCCTCACCTCCACCGTGCAGGTCACTGATGGACTCCACCTGGTGCAGGCGCACTTCTTGCACGTGGTTGAGAGCCAGCGGCCCCCTGCTTCTCTGGCTTGGCTCTGCTGCCACAGCGTCTGCAGAGGCAGCGTGAGGCTGATGGAGCTGCTACAGCTCATCCCCCAGTCGCCTCAGGCAGCAGGGACTGGGGAGAATGGACTAGAACAGAAGGGCATCTGGCTCTACGACCCCCTAAAACTGATGGAGGAATGACGAGTAGAAGACTGGAGACCCTGTAAGCCACAGGCATCCCCACTGACAATATTTGACAGGGGGCATGTGTGCTCATTTGAGAGGCTAGACATGGCCTCTCATTGGTTGGCTCAGGTGTCTGCCAGCAGATTCTGACGTGTGTGTCTGTCTGGACTCTGTACTTTCCTTGTGATTTTATCTTTAGGCTCACTGAAGTGTTTGTGCTGTCTCAGTATTCAAGTACATTTTCTTCTGGCTGTTACTGGATTTTTTTTTTTTTTTAAATCATGGCCCAAGAAGAGCTCCAGATGCCCACTTGGAAACTAGACAAACTAATAAAGTGGGCAGCCACCTCCAGAGTAAGGCAGGGATGGCTCTGGCACTGCAGCTGGCCTGCTCTGAGGGCTGGGACTCGGCCCTCACGGCCAGGCTCACACAGGGAAAATCCTCCACACACATTACTATACTTGTCCACACTTTGTAAATCCACTGTGTAGCCTGTTACAGGGAAAAAACAGTGGTGTTCAGACCTCAAGGGGTACACACTCCCTGCTGCCGGGGGGCCCAACCCCTCTCTTGTAGTGTAGACTAGAGAACACGAGATGCAAGGGAGCTGGCCAGCCTGCCGCACCGAGCTGGGCCGCATGCTGGGACCAGGGAGCCCCTGGCCATACCCCGTCCTGGCACTTGACTTGCAGCTTCCTGGATGCCAACTGCCCTGGCCCTTCTGGGCCACAGCACTTCTCAGATGTGGCAGATTTATAAGCTGAGTGGGAACCAGACCAAGGGACACCCCTCCAAGTCTTAGCCACTTGGGGGGTGTTCAGGCCAAAGCTGGAGAAAGCCAGAAGTCGCTGCTGGTCAGGTGCCCACCTTTTCCCTGAAATCAATGCCCACCCCAAGCCGTTCCTTTTCTCCCCTGAGGAAGGCTAAGGCAGCCAGGCAGCAGGCAGATGCCCACACCTACTCGGGCACAGCTTACAGCTGACCTACCTACCCCTAACGGGGCAGCTTGCTGTGGTCCTTGCTGGGCTCAGCAGAGGGACAAACCCTGAAGTGGGCAGGAGTGCACGCGTGGCATGCTCCTCTTCCATGCGCACACTGCAGTCGGACACGGGAATTAATGACTTCTCACCGCAGTGAACACAGTCGGACACAGGATCTGTGTCCCGCAGGGTCACAGGACTGAGATCCTGGCCTCCCTCACGGTCGCGCTCTCCTACCTTCTTGGGTCTCCTCAGGCATGGCAAGCAGTGGGCAGTCGGGGGGCAGCAGAGGATGGCCAAGAGTAGCAGGGCTGGACAAAGGCAGCTACGGCTCCTCCCCGGGCCTGGCCGCCGCCTCCCAGCCTGTGCCCAAAATAGGCCCGAGTTCAACCCACGGGGCTATATTTAGAGGGGCAGCTCCCAGCCATGGCAAGGGGGAGTGATCTGCATGGGCCAGGCCGGATTCCGTCTTCTGGCGATGGAATCCCAGCCAAAGCCTCTGCCAGTCTACATGCCCAGGGGCCCTCCTGGGGAGCCTTGCTTCCCCATACACAGAGGTCTCAGCCACCCAGCCACACAGCCAGCTTGGGCTCAGCCTGCCCCATACTCCGCCACGCCTCTGTCTGCTCATTCATCTCTCCTCCCAGAAACATGTGACCCATGCCCATCTATCACCGTGTAACTGCTTGGCATCAGGGGTTGGAGGTGACAGGCAGCCAGGGCCCAGTGCCTTAACAATACAAGGATTCTAGGGCTGGTGTTGTGGCATAGCATGCGAACCTTTCACCTGCAGTGACAGCATCCCATCTGGGCGCCAGTTTGAGTCTCAGATGCTCTATTTTCCATCTAGCTCCCTATTAATGCGCCTGGGAAAGCAACAGAAGGTGGCCCAAGTGTCTGGGCCCCTGCATCCATGTGGGAAACCTGGAAGCAGCTCTGGACTCCTGGCTTTGGACTGACCCAGCCCTGGCCATTGTGGCCTTTTGGGGAGTGAACCGGCAGATGGAAGATTCTCTCTCTGCCTCACCTCCTCTTTAAACTCTGCCTTTCAAATAAATTAAAAGTAGATCTTTAAAAAAGGGGGGAGAGATACTGGTTCCAAGAGCCCCACAAAACAACATGTACACATGGCCCCTGAGCTGGCCAGTGTGGTACTGCTAAGCTGACCGCCTTAGGTAAAGAACTGGCCCTGCTGGGCCTCAGTCTGCTCATCTGTAACACAGGCACACTGCCACCTCCCTAGCGGAGGCCGCTGAGAACAGATATTCAACCCCAGGTGCTGGCACTCGGCCCCAAGCTGGTTTGTTCTCCCCACCCCCTTCCACAACAACACGCAAATCACCTGGAGTCAGGATGCACAACTCCGACCCTAGCAGGGAGTAAGGCCCACCTGCGCCCCCTCTCTCCTGGGGCCGACTCCCGCCAGGGGAAGCTCTGCCTCCTACAACTCCCTGCCTCCAGCCCACCCGCCCGCACCACCTCCCCGCACATCCCAAGGCCGCTGGGCAGGCTGACTTTTGACTCCTCGGAATGTTTTGGCCCCGAACCACGGGCGCTGGCCCCCTGCTGCCTTTCAGCTCAGGTGGCACCCCCGCAGAGAGCTCTGTCATTCAATGCCCCACGCTGCCAGTTTGCTTTCTCTACACAGCCTTGGTGCACGGTGCAAGGCCATATTCCCCACGGAACCCACTCAGCCGAGCTGAAAGCACTGTCAGTCCCCACCACGCAACCTCGGACAGGTCAAACAGGCCCTGAGACTGCTGGGAAGCGACCGGCACCACACAGCACGGGCTAGAGCGAGTGGTCGTCTGCCGGCCTTGCAACCGCAAGCGATAACATGTTTATTGCTTTGCTTTAGTACAGTCGGCCTGCCTCCCCCACCCCACCCGGTACCGCACCCAGCCTGTTCACAGCTTGCTTTCTACTCATTGCCCGAGGACGGGCAGCCCTCCCCAACGGAGGTCATCGGGCACCTTCCCAGCCCCACTCCTTGTTCGGGAGCCCCGTTTCTGCGCCCCTTCCTTCCGGGCCGGATCCTGCGCCCGGCCGGGGCTGCCCTCTCTGAGGCTACATTCAAGGGTTATCCTGTTAATAAATAAGCCGGCGCAGCTGCCCCTCAGCCAGGGCCTGTCGGTTGGCGTCTCCACCGGCCAGGGAACCCCCGCGGACCCGGCCCCAACCCTCCGTCTGTCCCAGGGTCTGTCTGCCCCCTCTCCCGCCGTCGCCTCCTGCCTGGTCTCCAACGAGCAGCCGCCGGGTCACCAGTGCGCCGCGCTGCGCGGCCCGCGCTCGGCGCGCGGCTCGGGGTCGTGCGTCCGCCGGTTGCGGCCCTTCCTGCGCGCCGTCGAGGCCGCCGCGGGCGCTGGGGGCTGCGGCCGGCACATGCGCAGGGAGCTGGCGCCGCCCCCGCCGCCGCCGCCCGGCTCCACCAGCTGCAAGAAATCCCGGTACCAGAGTTTGGGGCCGGGCAGCGCCGCGGCCGGTGGCCCTTCCTCGGCCCGCGCCAGGCGTTCGGCCTGCGCAGCGCTCAGCACGTGCAGCGCCACTCGCCGCAGCGGCTGCGAAAAGCCCTGCTCGACGGCGGCGCACACGTAGACGCCCGAGTCCCCGCGCCGCAGCGCGCGCAGCAGCAGCCCCTGCGCGGTCAGGTGGACGCGCTCCTCCGGCTGCACCTGCGGGGCGGGAGGCGTGGGGCCGGCGTGAGGGCCGGAGGGCGGGCCGGGGAGGGGAGGAGCCAGGGGTTCTTGGGAGCTGGGGGCGTTCCAGGCGGAGTGTGTGGAAGCTGGTGGCAAGTGAAGGCCGGGTTCCATGGAATACCGGGAGGGGGCCGGGTCAGGAACCCGTGAGAAGGAGCCAGAGGGGATGGGGCAGGTGGGGAGCCGGCTGCCTGAAGTCCCATGGAGCTGGACTTGACCTAGACATGGGGTGCGGCCTAAAGGACCCACTAGGCAGACTAGGGCGCAGCCAGAGGGGGTGGGAGGCAGCGGCAGGGCCGGCCAAGGAGTCTCACCTGGGTGTGGGCCACCTGGCCTGCGCGCTGGAACGTCCACTCCATGCGTGCCTGCAGCGAGCGGGGCTCGCACTCCAGAAAGGCGCTGCTACCTTCTACGCCAAACACCTTCCGCTCCAGCAGCGTGGGCCGTGACGACGATGACAAGTCTTGGAACGAGGACAACCTCACACTCAGACATGGCAGGGGAAGATGGCGCAGTCTCAGGGACAGAGAATGGGGGCCACACAGGGTACTCACCCCCCGAGCACAGCACACTGGGGTCTCCATTCCTTACATCTTGTCTTCTGAACCGCCTGCAGGGACAGTGGCACCCCAGTGAGCCCTTCTCCCAGCTCCAACAGCCACAGCCCCTGGGTGTCCTTCCCGGCACCCGATCCCCAACCCCCCACCCCAACCCCGCCCACCTCTTGGCACTGGGCTGGAAGCGCGTGCACGCAGCCCCGTCCCAGGCGCAGTATGGGTCCCGCGCCAGACAGCATTCGGCGCAGGCGCGGCCGTGGGCAGCGCAGCGGTGCAGCGCTATCTGGGCCACCGCGCTCCGCGAGGCCACGTACAGCTGGTGCTGGGGGGCACGAGGGGCTGCAGGCTGGCCGATGGCGGGCAGCCCCGCGCCTGCTTCCCCTCATTCAGGAACCCTGAGGACTCAGGCCACCCAGACTAGCATAGGCAGCGCCTACTCACCCCTACACTCACCCCCATGCCAAGGGACTTAACGCAGTGAGCAAGGGCGGACTGGGCCTGGGGCTCCAGTTTGTGCACCCCGCCTCCCTTTCCACCAAAAGGGTGTGCTGCTCACTCACCCTTTTGGAGGAGATTTGCATGCTGGTGACAGCGGCCGAGTCCTGAGTGGGAGGAGGCACTCTGGAGTCACGGCTTTATGGGATGGGGGCTGTGGGGTGCCTGTAGACGGGGAGGCCTCACCTCAAACACATGCAGCTCCTCCAGAAGCAGCCCCTCGGCGCTGGGCCGGCTGCCCTTGGGCAGGATGATCACCTTCAGCACCGTGCCTGTGTCTGCAGGGTGAGAGGAAGGCAGCCCTGGCTGGGTGCCCCTCGCTCCGGTGGACAGCAGCGAGTGTGTAGTATACGGGGCACGATGCACAGCCACCTGGCGAGCCTGGCCAGGGCCTCAGGGGGTGCTGTGGCAGGACACTGACCTGTACCCACGAAGAGGACATCGTAGTGGCCATCTGCCGCTGCCACGCGGTCGGCCACAATTTGAGTGAAGGTGTATCCTGCGCCCACTTGCAGGAAAAGAGGGCGTCCTCCGATGGGCAGCACCGAGTTGTACATGAGGGGGTGGTTCCGGGCAAACTGGATGACATCATCAGGGAACTCCTTGGTGGACCCGAAGGTGCCAAAGGTCTTGCTGGGGCACTGGCGAGGGCAGAAAGAGGGACACACACAGCAGGGAAAGAGGTGTGAGGGCTAGATGGACACCCATACCTGAGGCCTCCATGAACGGAGTGGGGAAGGGGCTGGAGCCCTGCCCTGAAGCCTGGAGACAGAACCAAGCCTGCTTTGCTCCAAGAAGTCGGACCCAGTGGTGGTGACATTACCCCGATGCAGAGCAAAAGGAGGAAAGCCCCACAGCTAGCAGCTACGCACCATGCCTGGTCGAGGGTAGGGAACGCGACCCTGGTAGGACACCCACTGGTGTGTGGGCCCCTCCTTGTGTGCAAAGGGCCCCAGGAAGGCCCGGCGCACGTCGTCCATGCTGTAGGCACACACTGCTGAGCCCTGGAAGACACCACTGCCACCCAAATAGAAACAGGGTCAGCGCGCCCCGTGCGCCCTGGCGGTGTCCCCTACCTGCCGCCCCTCACCTGGATGTGGAGAAGACTGCGTAGAGCAGCGGGGTCCGGCGGTCGCGCGAGGTCAGCAGGAACACGTCCTCTGCGGGAGGGAGGCAGGTGGGCTGGCCAGCGCGCACACACAGCCCCGGTGGGGTGCCCCTCCGGGCTCTCTGCACCTACACCTCCCACACACACCCAGCCCGCATGCCAGGCACTCACGCAGGTGGTCGAAGTGGGTGTCACCCTCGACGCCAGGCACCGAGCACACGAGTCGCGCCTTCAGGAACGTCGTCCACTTGTTGACCAGGCTGCGCTGGCCACCCACGTCATTCTGCAGGGGGAGAGGGAGTGAGCACGAGACAACCCCACCCCTTGGGGAGGGATCTGGGGGTAGGCTGCCAGGAATGGCCCAGGGACGCCTCACCCTGCAGATCTGGCCAACGCGGGACACGGACAGCCGTCCTAGGGCTGGTGCCGCCTCCACTGCCAACTCACGGAAGAAGAAGTAGATTTTGTCGTCATCCGGGTTCTCGCTCTCCGGGATCCAAAAGACCTTCACAAATTTGGGCTCTGGCCGCAACACGATGCAAGGAGTCAGATAGTCATGCCCATTTCCTCCCACCAGGTGGCGCTACGAACGGTCCCCACTCGCCCAGCCGCGTGCGGCCCCGAGCACGGACCGCATCTCGACTGTGGCCTGCGAGGTAATAAGCAGCCACGAGGGGGCAGCAGAGACCACGGCTATCTGGGCATGCACCTAACACACACAGAGACACACACACACACACTCCCTCCCTCCTTCCCTCCGATTGGAAAGAGGGCTGTTGGGCTTAACCTGCATTTGTGAATCTTCTCCCCTAGCAGAGCTAAATACGCCCCGCTTGGGTTCGGAGCCTCCCATGGATCTCTGCTGTTAGAAGACGCTACTCCCCTACTAATAGTTTTAATGATTTTGTGGCTATTTTTTAAAATATTTATTTATTTTTATTACAAAGTCAGGTATACAGAGAGGAGGAGAAATAGAGAGGAAGATCTTCCAAACGATGGTTCATTCCCCAAGTGACTGCAACGGCTGGTGCTGTGCTGATCTGAAACCAGGAACTTCCTCCAGGTCTCCCACAGGAGTGAAGGATCCCAAAGCTTTGGGCCGTCCTCGACTGCTTTCCCAGGCCACAAGCAGGGAGCTGGATGGGAAGTGGAGCCACCGGGATCAGAACCGGCGCCCATATGGGATCCCAGCGCATTCAAGGCAAGGACTTTAGCTGCTAGGCCACGCCAACGGACCCGATTTTATGACTGTTTTTAAATTTACTTTATATAAGTAGAAGTTCAACATATTTTCCTTTGACTACTGTGCATAGCTCATGCCTATTTTCCTACGGGATTATTGTCTTTCCACTTTTTGTTAAACTCTTTATTTAGCAGAGCCAATAAGTCTTGGCTATAATGTAAATTGACAGTATATTATCTGGGCCCAGTCCTGTGGCCTAAAGGCTAAAGTTCTCATCTTGCACAAACCAGGATGCCATATGGGCACTGGTTCTAATCCTGGAAGCCCCACTTCCCATGCAGCTCCCTGCTTGTGGTCTGGGAAAGCAGATGAGAACAACCCAAAGCTTTGGAATCCTGTACCAGCGTGGGAGACCCAGAAGAGGCTCCAGGCTCCTGGCTTCAGATTGGCTCAGCTCCAACCATTATGGCTACTTGGGGAGTGAGTCAATAGATGGAAGATCTTTCTCTCTGTCTCTCCTCCTCTCTGTATATCTGACCTTTCAATAAAAATAAAATATTTTTTTAAAGGTGCATTATCTCTGGTTATCCCTGCAGCATAGCAGATCCAGCCACTTCCTGTAGCACCAACGGGTGCTGATTCAAGACCCAACTGCTGGACTTCCAATCTAGCTCCCTGCTAACGCACCTGGGAAAGTAGCAGAAGATGGCCCAAGTGCTTGGTTCCCAGCCCCCATACTGGAGACTGAGAAGTTCCTGACTTCTGGCTTTGGCCTAGTGCAGTCTTGGTGCTTCTGGTCATTTGGGGAGTGAATCATGGCTAGAAGATCTCTCTCTCTGCCTTTGACTCTCTGCAGCTCCATCTTTCAAATCAATGTTTCACTTTAAAGAGTACATTACCTCAAAACAAATCATATTTTTTAAAATAGACTATTCCTTGGGCCTGGCGTGATAGTCTAGTGACTAGATCCTTGCTGTGAATCTGCCAGAATCCTATACGGGCACCAGTTTGTATCCTGGCTCTACGCTTCCCATCCAGTTCCCTGCTTGTGGCCTGGGAAAGCAGTCGAGGACAGCCCAAAGCCTTGGGACCCTGCACCCGTGTGGAAGACCTGGAAGAAGCTCCTGGCTTCAGATCAGCTCAGCTCTGGCTATTACGGCCATTTGGGGAGTGAACCAGTGGATGGAGGATCTGTCTCTCCTTTGCTCCATAAACGTGTCTTTGCAATAAAACAAATAAATCTTAAAAAAAAAAAAAAGTCAGAGACTCTAAAATATTTAAAAAGAGAGAAGCTTCTGGCGCCCCGAGAACACAGGTGGCCCTAACTGGTGTCCCATGGGTCTGGTGGCCCTGCAGCCTGCACTGCACTGCTCTCAGTTCAGCACAGGGCTCTCCAGGGCTCCGGGAATGAGCTGTTACCTCCCATCCCAGAGCAGCTCCTTCCTCCACCTCCTGACCCCAGGCATCTCTCCCCTCACTGGCCTATCCGTCAGGATCAGTCTCATTACACATTTGTTGTGAAAGAGCGGGCACTGACCACACTGTGCTGACACCTGTGCCTGATGTCAGTCCTGCTTTTGCTGGGTCACTGGTGAGATCTCCCTTCTCCCATTCTCTCTACTGCTTGGCACCCCAGCCTCCCCCGCCCCCTTCTCACCATTGAGCCAGCGGGAGTCGTGCGGCTCTGTTCGGAGACTCGGACGCTGGCCTAGGCTTCGAAAGATGGTGAAGTCCCGGCCCATGAGGTCTGCTGCCACACCTGAGTACAGCTCCTCTCCTGCGGGCAAGCCAGGGCTGCTCAGCCAACCACCCAGGGCTCCGGGGGGCATCACTAAGTTCTGACTAAAGGGGACCAGGAGTTGTGCAGATGCCCGGCTGCTGGACTCACCCACCAGCACGGAGGCAGCCCGATGCCTGGGATCATAAGGGCTCTTCCCCTTGCCATCCTCAAGTCTGCGCAGGTCCAGCCGCAGCATGGGCTCCTGGGAAGCCGGGACAACTGTTCCTGCTAGGCCCTTGTTCACCCTCTCCCCAACCCCCAGCCCCTCTCCTCACCCAGAGCTGGTCTCACCTCAGGCCGGTGGCCCACCTCCACAAAAGCACAGGTAGGGTGGAAGGCTCCTGTACCACAGGCCAAAAGGTGGGTGCGGTTGTAGGTATGCAGCAACTTCACGAAGTTCATGCACTCCGTCTAGTGGGCAGGCAGGAGCTGGCACCGTGAGGCTGCCAGAAGAGGCCCTGGCTTGCCAGCACCATTCCCTGCCTGCCTCCTCTCTGTGCCGTCCAGGGGATACTCTTCATGAGCTCCAGTGACCAGTGCAACCGCCATAGAGCGTGCACGAGGACGCAGGGGCCTGCGAAGCCCCCTGTGACTCAGCCCCCACCCTGACTCACCACCTCGGAACCTTAGCGCCTTTGCCCTTGCTGCCCTCGCCCCAGCTGGAAGAGGCAGGCCTCTGTCCAGTCCTGCCCTGTCCCTGGGCTCTGGGGCTGACCTCCCCACTCCCACCCCATGCCCAGGGCTGGGGAGACAGCCAGTACTCACGCCAATGTCCTTCCCAGCCCAGTTGCACTCTTCTCGCCATTCAACAGGGGCTGGCCAGGCCAGCTGCAGGAAGGTTGGGGGGATTGTGGGTCAGATCTGGGCTGTTCCTACTTTTTACACAGGGGGACCCATTGCTCCCAGACCTCTGCAGACAGCCAGAGATGGGCTCCTGGGACTCCCTCCCTGAGCCTGGGGACCCGGCCACCTTCTTGGCCCGCTTGCTGATGTTGTCCAGGTTGAGCGAGGCCACATGGTTCTCAGCACCCACGAACAGGCGCCCGCGCTCCTCATCCAGCAGCAAGGCTTCATAGCAGCAGGTCCGCTCCAGACGGAAGGTCCGGAGGCCATGCCAGGTCTGCAGCTCTGTGGGGTGGGCACACCTCTCTAAGGATGCGCCAGCCATGCCAAAACCCTCCCTGGGGCCTGACTGGCTGTCTGCCTGGGGACTAAGGGTTGCCTGACCCTCACACATATGCATTTATACACCCGGATAGGCCCACAAGGATGCTTGGTACAGAGCAATCAGGGTGGGCAGTGCGGCCCCCCAGGAAGGGGAAAGCAGGTTGAACAGCTTGTTTGGACAAGTGAGATCTTGTCTGAGTGTGTGCACTGGGAAACCAGTGGATACCAAGGTTCTAGGAGAGCTAGGCATGTAGAACTAGCCAGGACCCGGGATCGGAAAGGTGGACTGGCAGTCCCAGGCCCGGGCTCACCTACCCCAAGCCACTGCTGGGGATGAGGGGGCAGGAGTGAGACTTCCACACTGCCCTGCCCAAGATGCCAGGCCTGGCTGGGTAGAGAGACAGGGCATTCTATTGCTATGGAAATGGAGATGAGACTCTTCTTGGGAAAGTGTGAGGAAATGTGGGCAGAGAGGCTGAGGTTAGCTGGAGAGTTCCCCAATCCTACAGACACAGAGCTACACACCCCAATGAGCCCCTTCCATGCCCGCCTCTCCTGCCTCCTGCGCTGAGCCCCCCTGCCTGCCAGGTGCACCTACCTTCGAAGGAGAGTCGAAGACGTGGGGGGCTGGGGACAGCCCCTCCCAGCCCGGCTGCCCAGAGTAGAGCCAGCCCCAGGATCATGGCGGCGGCCTCAGCCCGCCTCAGCCCCGTCAGCTCAGGGCGCTCAGGGTTCAGCGGGTGTGTGTGGAGGAGCCTTGAGTTGCCCTGGACTCTGCCCTGGGATCTGAAAGAAAAGGAGCCAGCAGTGAGGGCGGGAGACTTACGGGGGGAGTCCCCAGGGATCAGATTACAGCCCCCGGGTGGGGGCGAAAGGCTGGGGGGTCGCATTCCACTTCCGAGGGAGCCCTCCCCTCTGAGGGTGCCCCGCCTGGCCACAATCACAGACACACCCACGCTGGGCACACCCTCAGGGTCACCCTGTGCTGGCAGTGTCTGCTCTGCTACCACGTCACCTCCTTCCTTAACCGCCTCCCCTCCCCTCCCCTGCACACACTCACATTCATTCATTCACAGACCCTGTGTGCCCACACTGTGCCAGCCTGGGACTGGGGGTTGAGCGATTCTGGCAGACCCAGTCAAGGTCCCCAAATGGGAAGAGGCCGAGTGCCAACAAGGAGTCCAGTCCTATGGGTGAGGTCACTCCAGAGAACGCCAAGTGCAATGAGCAAAACAAGCCCATCTCAAGAGGGTGACGGGAGGAGAGTCGACCCAGAGCCAGGCCTGTGGAGGTGGCCATGCACCCACAGAGGGCCATGGAGGTATTCCTAGGGGCTGCCGCCTAGTGGGGGCCTGTCAGTGTGTCTCTGAATGTGTGTGCATGCATGGATGTCTATGTGCTAACATGGGGTATCTCATGTCACACATGTGTTGAGTGAGATTCCTTCACATCATATATGCATCTATACATGTGTGCTATGTGTGCATGCCACGTGTGTGTGTGCATGCCTGTGTGGGCATGTGAAGGAGCAATCCCAGCTGCAACATCAGTCCCTGCCCGGGACCCCAGGGGACCTATTCTTAACCCAGTTAGGCACTGCTGCCTGGGTGCCACAGGGCTGCTGGGCTCCTGGGTTGGGCAGGTGCCTCTGCTGCTGCCTCCTCTTGACTCAGAGCTATTCCTAAGCCAGATCCAGTAGCCTGTGTGCCCTAAGGGGGTGGAAGCGGCACCTGGGGGTCCACAGAAAAGCAGTGAGGTCAGGCCCCAGGAGTCAGGCAGGAGAGGTTGCCTTCACTAACCCCAATCCTGGGGGCGTCCTCAGTCTCCCCAACCTCTCCCTCTACTCCTGCCCCTGTCATCTTCCTCTTTTTGTGTCCCCCACCCTATGACCAGACACCCCCCTCCTAGATCTCTCACATGGGGGCTGCCATGTCCACCTTCCCTCCCAGGGAGCTGTCTGGGCAGGTGCCTGGGTGAGGGGCTCTGGGGGTGGGGCAAGGTTCCAAGAAAGGATGAGGTCAGAGCCGCAGTCGCTGGGGGCAGTCCCAGATGCCTCTTCCAACACACACTGCTGCCCAGTCCTTGGTGCCCAGACTCCCTCCACCCTGCCCCAGGACCCCAGCCTCCCTCCTGCCCACCGGATACACTTGCCGCAGGCTGTCTCTTCCTGGTCTGTGCGAGTCTGCCAAGTGACACGCTGCTTTCCACACCTCCGGCAGGCTCCTCCCCTCCCAGCCCCCTCACACCCCGGGAAGGGGTTGAAGCCTAGGGGCCATAGGGCACCCTCCTACGGCTCCTTTAAGGAGCAGCTCCTGCCCCCACCAGGCTTGCCACCGCCCCACACGCGCCGCCGCCCGTGCCTGCCCTGCCGTAAAGTTTGCAGGGCGGATCGGGTGACTGGGCAGGCAGCCGGGACCGGCTGGAGACAGCAGCGGGCTGGAATGGGCACCAGCAAGGGGTGGGGCGAGACGACCCTCCCAGATCGGGCCTCAAGGTGGAAGAGTGCCCTCACGTGGGTCTGGGGGTGGGGGGCAGCGGTTGCTAGTCAAGCCAAAGCAAGCAGCAGCGACAAGGACATCCCCCAGCTTCAGGTGGCTGTGTACACCGCCTATGGGGAATGCGATGGGAAGGGGGCACCCGTTGACTCGAGCGCCTGACCTGGCTTTCCTGAGCTGGGGCATGGCAAATGGGGAGCTCAGCTGACACCTTGGTTCCCAGGAGCCACTGGGAGGGGAAAGCCTGAGGGTGGGAGAGGGGGTTTCTCAACTGGAGAGCCTCAGGACCCCAACCCCTATCCTTCCTCAGCATTTGGGTCAACTTAGCACTTCAGCTGCCTGGGGAACAATTTGGAGGACAGCCAGGTAGGCACAGACACAGGAGGCCTGGCCAGTCTGGCTTTTGCAGCAGGGCATGAGTCTCCCCTGATCAGGTCACCATCCTGGAAGAGGGGTGCTGCTTCCCTGTTGAGTGGAGGGCATCTTGTGTGGCTCTGCCTAAGTGGGAGGTGAGAGGAATTGCCCCTACCAAACCCAGAGCCAGGTGCCTGATTTTACACTGGGCTTTAGCACTTCAGTTGTGGGGGGGCAGGGGTCTTGGTGGATACCCCTATTTGTATTGGAGGGCGATTATTTTGCAGGGTCTGAATGGTGACAATGACAGTGGCAGGCCCTCAAGTCCATATGGGTGAGCAAACTAGGGCCTGAGGATACACTTCAACTCCTCAGTTCCCACAACAAGTGTCTGCTTGCCATCATCCTGAAGCAGAGGCACAGCACCCCCGGGGTCAGCAGGGCTGGGCAGATGCTTCAAGGGCACACAGTTCTGTTGCCCATCACCTGGGTGCCAGCCAGCCAGCCAGGCACAAGTAGGGCTAGAGGGAGATTCTCCAGGTACCCTGGCATCCGCAGTGAGCAAGACCTTGCCATCTGCCCTCCTCGCAGCCTAGTGTTCCGGACTGCTCTGGCTAGCAAGCAGAAACTAGGAAACTAGGGTATGCAGGGTTGCCCCCTTGCCTGAGCCCTAAGACTTCCAGGATGTGGTCTTCCTCTACCAGCTGCCTCTGGCCTGGAACCTGGGCAGCCTCCCCTTGCCCCATGCAAGCAAACAAAATTCCTCAGCTGTTTACAATTTTCCACCCAGGCAGCCAAGATCAGCAAGTACCCTTGAGGTCCCACTGCACCCCCGCTGCACCCCATCTGCCCCCACTGCTTCCACTTCTTCAGGATTGGGGTCCTAGTCTTTGTTTCAATGCTCCCTGCCCAGTCTCCCAATGCTGTGCTCACACCAAGGACCAGGAACCCCTCACCTTTCCAACAGCCTGAGACTCAGGCCCCAGCCGAAGGGACCGGACTGGACCACCCTTCTCCAGATGTGCCCCCTCTCTTGAGCAAGGCAGTCAGTCCTCAGAGAGAGGGGAAGCTCTTGCTCAGGTCTCCCAGGTCTGCTCCTTGGCCACAGGTCAAGTGTGCTGGCTATGAGTAATACCCTCTGAAGATGGCAGTCAAGAGCAAGGGTGGAGATGACCGCGGGGCTGTGGACCTCACCCCCGGGGCACCCTGGCCTCCAGGGCCTCTACCTTGGACTGGGGCCTGCTTGGGTTCTTGTTCTGCAGCTGCCCAGCAATGGGGTCAACCTGCCAGGAAATAACTGGATGGTTGGGCTAGGCACCTGCCCCCACCCCGCCCCACCCCGCCTCGCTATCATCAGTTTGCCCTGCCCCTGTGCATTATTCCGCTTGGATTCTAGGTGTTGTGGCTGGGGTGGGACAGCCCATGGAGGAAGGCACAGCCTGGGCAGCATGGGATCTTGCCCACTCACACCTGCTTTAGCCATCAAGGCTGGTGGCTCCAATCCATGCTGGCCACATGGGTATGGGTCATGCTGGCCTGAGGATTCAGGCATGGCAGGAGTTAGGTGGGGAAACAGATGGGGATGGGGGAGTGGGGAGACTGAGGGCAGCCAGGCAGGGATCTCCAGGCATGACCTGAAGAATAAATAGAGGAAAAGTTTTCCAGGACATTTGCCCCCCTCTTGCCCAACCCTGCCCCAACTACCTCCCAACCTGGTCTTCAGGTTGAGGGAGCAGATCCCCGGCCCGGCCCACCTTTTGTGAAAGATCAGCTCTTCCCCTCCTTGCCTGCTCCCCTGGCCTTCTGAAGGCCATGGCAGAGCTGAGCCTGAGAGGGGCAAAGAAGCGAAGAAGCTGAGCCTTTGGCTGTGGCCCTGCCCCCACCGCCCCGCCCCTGCCCTCCGCCTCCTGCACATTCCTCGCAGGCTGAGGTCAGCCCCTCTGGGAAGGGAGCCCCCCCACACCCGCACCAGCCACATCACAACTCCTCACTCCTGTTTTCCTCATCGCCCAGCAGGGTGGGGTGAGGAGGAGGGAGGCTGGAGGGGGCGGGGCCTCCCTCTCCCTTCCCCGGAGCCTGGGGGTGTGTGGAGGGGGCTGTGCCAGGAATGCTGCTTGTTGAAGTGGAGGACAACTGCACTCTATTTTCATCAGCAGACCATGAATTTCAGTCCTGCATTCCCTAACTGGCTGCCCAGAGCCCTGGGACTGCTGCTGGCTGACTGAGGGGCTCAGGACACTCAGAGTTGGGCTAAGGGGTGAGGGCTGCCCAAGAATGAACATCCCTCTGCAGGGTACGTTGGATAGCGAGCGACCCTGGACGCTGTCACCACTGTTGTCCTCCAGCTCTCTTTTCTCCTTGGGTCCTGTGGAACAGGCAACAGCCTGGGTGACAGTTGTTCACTCTTGCTGCTGTCTCAGCTCTGGGCATCCCAGGGCACCCAGGCCTGTGAAAGGCCATGAAGGAGAGTTGTACAGCGCCCCCACCCCCCCAGGTACAGCTTCATCGGGCCTTTCTCAGGATGGGGCTTTCTCTTGCCTGCTTCTCTCGAGGCTCCCACTCCAGAAGCTGCTTCTTATATCCTCTGACCTCCACGCCAAGGCTCTGCTTGGTGACCCCTCTGTCCCTGAGGGCCTCATTCACTTCACAAGCCCCAGCCTGGCCCGGGGAAGTGCCAAGCCTGGGCTCCCGAGAGCCATTGCTCAGAGAGGTCCCTCTGTCCTCCTGCTCTGTGGCTGGAAGCCTGACCCTCTGCCCTTGCCCTAGGCCGTGGCCCTGTGTGGCTGCCCCCTGCAGCACCCTGCCCCCATCCCTGACTCAGAGAGCTTGCAGAAGCTTGGGGGCACGCAGCCTCAGCCAGGCATTCACAGTGCCCTGCCAGCGCCCCACCAGTGCCCCTGCCAGTGCCCCAGCTGCTCTGTTTCCGGGATGCATCAGCTCTTTCATTGCCAATTGTTAGCTCGAGCTGTATCCTTCACTTTTCAGGCCCCTCCCCTTGTCACTCGAGGGTCTCATCTCACCATTCAACATCTACCTTGGCCATTTGCCTTCCTGGCTGATCCCTGCAGCAGTAGGTTCTAACCTTGGGTAGGGCTGGGCAGGGGGTCTTCCATTGTGGGGCAGCATCAGGGACTACCCTCCCTGGCAACCCAGGACTCACCAGAGGTTTTGACCTCTGCTCCCCCTAAACACTGGGACCACCACCCCGAGACTACATGAAGGTGGAGGGTCTGGCAGGCATACACACTAGCTGTCACGCAGGCTACATGTGCATAGCCCGGTTGCCTGGGGCTTCACCCTGGCTGGCAGGGGCTGCCTTCCCTCATTGAGAACACAGGGATGGGGGCTTCGGGGAACACAAATCCTCATGAGAGGAATAAGAGCCCTGAGGGGTCTTACTTGGAGCAGGAGATGCAAGGATTCAGGTCAGTGTTTGGGGAGTGCACCCAGTCCTAGAATTCAGTCAAGAGAAGCTGTGATCTTGATCCTGCCCTGGGCTTCTCTCTGACTCCCAGGCCACCAGAATCTGCCTGCTTTGCAAGCGGCCAGGCAGCTGCAAGGGGGTTCATGCTCTCCAACTTTCTCGGTGGGGCTGGCACTCTGGGTGTGGTGGGGAGACACTGATTCTCTGCAGAAGAGTAAGCTTTGCTGGTGGGGAGAGGCCATGAGGCTACCCCGGAACACACTGGGGAGTTCTGCCAGGTCTCCATGGGTCCTGCAGCTGGGGACCTCAGCGCTAACCTTGGGTGGGGAGAGCCCTTCCCTAATCTGCACCTGGCATCTGCCCAAGGTGTGCATCTGGCTTGGGGAACTGGCTCCTCCCCTTGGGGGCTCCCCACAGTCTCCCCTCTGCAGGCCTCTCTCACTTCCCAGCTGTTTCCCTAACCCCTAAGCAGGTTAAAAATACCAAGACTGCCACCACCCCAGCAGCTGGAGCAACTATTTGAGGTGGGTCAGGGCCTCCAGGAAGCAGACTGGCCTCGTGGTCCTTCCCATTTGCGGTAAATAGCCCATACCGCCTGGGTCCCTCCTTGCCTCTGCCTGTCCTGCTAAGAGTCTGCAGCTGCCTAAGGGTGGGGACAGGGTGGATGGGTGCTCTGCGACTAGAAAGCCAAAGAGCCCGTGCATGGTCATCCTCACCCAGCTGCTCCTCCAGGTCAGGCAATGGGGGTTTGCCCATAACCCAATCTCATGGACCCCATGTTGTTGGGGTACAGGATACCTGCACAATGGATCCCTCCTGCCTGTCACTGCTCCCCACCCCCAACATGGCTGGGAATTTCCCAGTCGCCACCAAAGACAAGGCAGAATTGAGAGGCCGCCCCCGCCAGGGCTGGGACAATGGAGCCTTATACCCTAGAAATCAGAACTGGGTAGGAGGGCCCAGCCAGGGCAGGTGGGGGCCCAGCTCCCTCTGTACCCAGGGACTCCCTGCTTGCCAAGACCCCACCCAGACCCACTGCCAAGTGGGGGGCAAGGGGGAATCCTGGCTAGAGCCCTGCACGGCCCACCCAGGAGGGAGACATTGGGTGTGCCAGCAGACAATGCCGGGCCTTCAATGGTGTCTGTTGTGCAGGGTTTCCCCCCTCAGGACAGACGGAAGGAACCATCTCCGGTGCCCGCTTCCTGCGGGGCGGGCATTGCCATTCCGCAACAGCTCCCGCCTGCACATCTGGGAACAGCAAGGTCCAGACCTGAGCCCCAGACGGAAACCAGGGATCCTTGGAGGGGCGCGGGCCCTCGGAGGCAGAGGTAGCCAGAAAGGACTGAGGAACCCGGGACGGAGGGGACATTCATCTTCCTACCGGCGCCCGGCCTCTCATCTCCTGCCAGACTGGGGCCCCACGGCCCCCGCGGGGCACTGGCAGGTGTGTGGAGGCGGGGTCGTCCCAAGTCCCCGGCCCAACCCCTCCCTCCCCGCCTCCACGGCGCCGACCCCGGCCCGCCCTCGGCCCAAGCCGCTTTGTCCCGGGCCTCGGGCCGCGGAGCCGCGGCCGCCGCACAAAGCTGCTTTTGTGCCCCGAGGCCTCCGGCGGGGCCCTGTGACGTCAGTCTCCGTGACCGGACCGGCGGGGCCGAGCGGGACGGCTGCGCCCCCTGGCGGCCGGAGGCGGTGGCGCGGGTCTGCGAGTCGGAACCCCTCCGGGTGGCTGGGCCCGCTGGCTCGCTCGCTGGTCCCTGTGTCATGGCACCTGGCCCGGGCCCAGCAGACCCTAGGAAGGTCCCAGGTTCACAGCCCCAGCACCATTATGATCAATGGCCTAGGGCTCACTAGGCCGGCCCGGGCCTCCCACACCCCTGCCCCGTGACAACACCGAGGGGAGGCTGCCTGTTACTGCCCTAGGGTTCGGAGTGGGCCTGACCTGGGGAGGGACCTTTCTGACGCCTCAAGGTCCCTGCCGGCTTTCTGTTCAGTCAAATCAGCCTGGCTGTGTGACTTATGGCAGCCGTCATGGTCTTGGGCCTGGGTGCCTGGGAGGCCGGAAGTCCAGCCCCTTCCTTGAATGGCACCTGTTGTCATGCTCCAGGTGGGGCTTGTGGCTGAGTGAATGATGCTGGTAGAGAAGCAGTCCCTTGCTGGGTCTCAAGGCTGCCCCAGCAGGAGGAAGGCCCACGGTCCAAGTGGAAACCAGAGCCCAGCCCTGGGTCCAGCCACACGCAAGGCAAGCACCGAGGGCCTGGTCACTTCACCCTGGTGTATCCCGTGGCCTGGGCCTGTGCCCGTGGATAAGAAAGAATACCTCACAACTCTTGATTTTCTTTCTACATTTTATTATTTCAAACCAAGTGAACAATTCCATAAAACGTGAAAAAAGCAAGGAAGTGTTCAATGCTGAAGGACCCGGGGCCTGGGGCGAGGGCACAAGGGGCGGGGAGGGGCCCCTCAGCAGGCAGCGGAGGTCCTAGGTTAGCGCTAAGGAGCTACATGGAGGTTAATGGAGCCTGGGCCCAGGGCCGCTGGGGCGGGGCCCTCAGTGACCTTGGCAGTTGTCTGGAACAGCCCTTGGGACCTGATTGAGTGGAGGGCAGGGCAGGGCAGGGGTGCTGCCGGTTCAGAGGGTGGCAGGCTGGGGGACAGGTGTAAACAGGCAGACACACTCAAGGCACAGCGTCACCAGAGGGACGTGGGTGGGTGCTGGTCAGGATCGGACAGTTTTAAATAGATTTTCCTCTAAAAAGTTTTCTCTTTTTTCTTTACTTTCTTTTTCTTTTTTTTTCTTTTTTTTTAAAAAAAAGCTATGAGTACGAGCAGGTGGACCATGGTCTCCAGGAATGGTGGCGTCTCCCGCTTGTGCTTTTTGCCTTTGGGGCCTCCGGGTGGCGGGGTGGGTTGTGTGGAGGGGACGGATGGGAGGGCAGGAGGCTCCCTGTAAACATTTGGACTTGGGCAGGATCAGGGGCTGCTGTCGGGTGGAGCCAGGGGTCCAGGCTGGAGGAGTAGGTGCCGCTCCAGACACAGGCTTTGGGGGACTCGGTATGTGCTCCCCCCAGTCCCATAACAAGACAACGGTTAAAAACCCAGAACAGATGCCCAGGAAGAGAGTACTGTGATCACTGCCGAAAGCTCAGACAGGGGCAGGCTTCAACCAGGGAGGCCTGTGACAGCCCCTCCCCGCAAGCCTGGGTCTGAGGGAGGGGCTGGGGAGCCCAGAAGAGAGAAGGAAGAAGGGGGAAGCGGCCGAGGGGCAGGGTAGGGGACAGGCGGGGAGTGTGGTCTTCTTGTCCCCATCTTCCTCGGGGTTGGGGAGGAACAGAGTTGATGGTGGCCCTGGAGGTCAGGGACAGGTAGGCAGGGGTCAGCAGGCAGCCAGTGTGCTCACTTCTCTTCTCGCCTCCCTAGACAGTGCCCCTTTCTGCTACCCACTTGTTACCAGGGACACAGCTGCTACCTAGGGACCAGTTTCGTTGCTGGGTTACATGAGGGAGGGCAACCTTGGGCCCTGGTGGTGCCATCCCCACCTCCACCAGAGCCAGTGAGGCCAGTCTAAACCCAGGACCCGCCAGCTTGGGGTAAACGTGGCGGCTGAGCCCCACCCGACTCCAGTTTCCTTTGGGCCAGGCCAGTTGGCCAGTTGGGGTGCGTGAGGAGCTCTGTGTTCCCCAAGGAACACTGGGATAGTTCCGTTTCCATCCCAGGGCAAGCCCATGGCCTCTGGCTGGACCTCTGGGTACTGGAACACCCTACCCCCAAGGCCCTGCATCTCTGCCACTTGGCCTCATTAGTCTTCTGAGCTCCCCTCTTGTCCACTGGTCCCCTACTATCCCTTCCTCCCCCCATCTCTGGTTTCCACCGCCTTCTCCAGTCCCTGCCTGCTCCTCGCCTTGCCCCCAGTGGCTCACCATCTTGTCAGGCCCTGTCCCTCAGAAGAGGCCGCAGTCCTTCAGGTTGTTCTTGATGATGACGTCGGTGACGGCGTCAAACACGAACTGCACGTTCTTGGTGTCGGTAGCGCACGTGAAATGCGTGTAGATCTCCTTGGTGTCTTTGCGTTTATTCAGGTCCTCAAACTTACTCTGGATGTAGCTGGATGCCTCATCGTATTTGTTGGCCCCTGTGGAAGACAAAAATGAAGACGTGTGTGTGGATGTGGGTATGGGTGGCAGGCGGGCCTCATCCTACACAGCTGGCAGGGTTCCATGAGTATGCATGAATAAGCGAAGAACATATGCAAGTGTATGCACAGGATGAGTGTGTAAGTGCTCCTGCACACCCGTGTGTATGGGGAGAGGCACCTAACTCTGTGAGGGGAGCCACAGGCATGTGTTAAGGTTAAGAAGTGCCCGCCCCATAGGGGGTGGGGTTGGGGTATAGCAGGTGAAGCCACCACCTGGCATGAACCCATATAGGGCACTGGGTTCACATCCCAGCTGCTCCAGTTCCAATCCAGCTTCTTGCTAATGGGCTGGGGAAATCTGCAGAAGGTGGACTATTTAGGCCCCTGACAGCTTTGTGGGAGACCCTGAAGAAACGCCTAGCTTGTGGATCTGGCGTGGCCATGCACTGGCTGCTGTGGCCAGTGTAAGTCTGTAAGTCTGACTTTCAAATAAATAATATTAAAAAAAAAAAAGTGCAATTTATGTGAGCAACTATGTAAGCGTGCTGGTTGCCCTTCTGTCCAGTGGGGGGCGTCCACGGTCATCACTGGCTCCTCCCGAGCCCCCACACCTGTGTACTCGGGGAAGCAGATAGTTAGGTGGCTGTGGGTGATCTTCTCTTCAAACAGGTCCTTCTTGTTGAGGAAGAGGATGATGGACGTGTCCGTGAACCACTTGTTGTTGCAGATGCTGTCGAACAACTTCATGCTCTCATGCATGCGGTTCTAGGGACAGGGTAGCGAGGTCAGTGCCAGCCATTGGGCCCCTCCCCAGCCGCCCCCTGGACTCCCACCCAGCTGCTTCTTACCATCTCCTCGTCCTCAGCCAAAACCAAGTCGTAGGCACTCAAGGCTACGCAGAAGATGATGGCTGTGACGCCCTCGAAGCAATGGATCCACTTCTTCCGCTCTGACCGCTGGCCACCCACATCAAACATCCTGTGGACACAGGATTGCCTGAGTACCAGGGAAGGGAGCCCATTCCACAGGCTGGCAGACTGATGGCAGAGCTGCCTTGATGGAATCCACCTCACCCACTTGCTTACTGCACCTCTGGGTTCTGGGCCAGAGAAGCAGTAGGGTGGGGGAGCCGGGTCAGTGGGGCAGGGTGCAGACCCACAGTGTGGGGTGAGCAGAGCTGTGAGCTGCTGGCAAGAGATGGCATGGTTCCTGGCCCCTGATGTCACTGCGAGGTGCTAGGGTGTGCATTCCCAGAGCACAGCCTTGGGAGACCTCAGAGTGGCGTGGCACAGTCCTGCACCAGTCCCTTCCCTTGCATAGCCCGTCCTGCTCCTCCACTCTGCCCACAGGCCTGCTTACTTGAAGTGCAGGTCCTTGAAGGTGAAATGCGTCTCCACGATACCCGTGGTCTTCACGCGGGTCCTCAGCACATCCTGCTGCGTGGGGATGTAGTCGCTCTGGGCGATGCGCTCTAGGTCATTCAGGTAGCTGGGAGTTGGGGGAGGGAGGAGTCAGCACCTATCTGGGGCCTCCTCACCTGATCCCAGACCAGTTGGGAGAGCCCCCTCCTGCCTATATCCCCATCTCTCAGGCAAAACCCTTGCTTCTTTAGCTCTGGAAAAACTTGGGACTAAGAGCCCTCAGTAGATTGTGATAGGAGGGAGGTGTGGCTCCAGGCCACAATAGTTATGGTCTGAGCCAGGCCCTGCTTCGGTTGGGACCCAGGGAGGTGCCAGCTCCAGGCAAGGGAGGAGGGGCAGAACGATCCCTCTGCGAGGGATTCAGGATGCTAATAGGAGCAATTATGGCAGCCTGATGCAGTCCCTCGATGTGGGGCTGGACAAGCTGGGGCCTGCCTGGCCCAGCAGGCTCTTTGCCCAGCACCCAATAAAACAGGCACCCTAGGGGGGCGGGCAGACACCTGCTTGGCGGGGCCCCAAGGGCTCCTCATTAGTGGCTCCCTTAATTAGCATCAGTGTTGCTCAGGCAGGATCCTGGGACGAGCCCCACTGGCCATTTCCAGGGTTGCTGCAGTGCTCCACCGCCTGGGTCCTCCACTGCTGCCCTGTCCCGACAGCTTGCTGGGCCAGAGCTACTGGGGTCAGCCCTTGGCTTCCATCAGCAGCCAGGCCAAACCAGGCCAGAGGGAAATGATCTCAGAGACATAGGGACAGAACAGAAAAACAGGAAGGACCATGGGGGGACCATGACGTTTGTGCCATGACCTGCATACCACAGCCTGCTCCCTACTGAGAGAACCCCCTGCCTGTGGGCCTCAAGGTGGGTTTCATGCCAGCTTCTCCTTTCTCCCCAGCAGAGAAACTCAGCCCTGGGACCCCTGCCTACTGTAGTTTAGGAGGATGACTGGAAGAGGGCCGGGGGTTGCCTAATGTGCACTCCCCCCCCGCCGCCCCACGCACACACACATACAAATCCTGTCCAGGCACAGTCCTGCCTGGGAGAGCAGGACCATGTTCACAGCCAAACCCTATTGCCGAAATGGTGCTGGGCACATGGCAGGTGTTTACCATCTCGGAAAGGAGAAACGGGGTGACAGAGAAGTACGAAGTAGCCTGGAGGAGGCTCTGTCCCTAACCCCAGCAGCTCAGTGGGCACCAAAATCACAATATTTGACGGGTTCACCCCTAGGACTACCTTAGTGCTTGGCTGTGACCCTGCAGTCCCTGTGCAGGGTAAAGGGAAGCTGTCTGGGGAACTGGAGCAGAGACCCTCCTCCCATGGCCTTTCTCTAGAGCGTAGCCCTCTCTGGATAGGCTGGGGAACGCACAGCCGCAGGTGCCCAAGACTGCTCCAGAGGGGCTGGCTGCCGTGTGGCAGGGAGCAGAGATGAGGGGCTGGCTGCCGTGTGGCAAGCAGCAGGGATCAGGTGCAATAACAGCCTCTCTGCGGGCACCATCTGAAGCTGGCGTGTTGTCTGCCAGCCCGTGTGTCCTATTCCCTGTAGGGTCCTCGGCACCCCCTGCCAGTCCTGGCACCTGCTGGCACTGCAGGAAAGTTTGGAGCTTGAGTCTGGGCTTGTTGCGCCTTGGGGACTCTTGGGATTCCCTGAGAGTCTCCAGCTGAGTCCTGGCCTCGGCCTGTGGCCAGTGAGCCTGATACTGAGGGCCAGGGCTCCGGCACCTCCTTGGCAGTGCCAGCTTGGGCATCCTGTGTCTCAGGCACAGTTCTAGGAGCCTGCACATGCCGTGCCCCTGCCAGGAGCCCCTTTCCCTAACTCCCTCTTTTAACTCTTGCCCAGAGCACCAGTTCTGCATGGGGAAATCCCCCAGCTGACACTCTAAATTGTCACTGCTTAGGGACTTGTCTTCAGCCGATGGCAGCAGATGTTAAGACTCCTAAGATACAACTGGACAGGAAGAGAGCTACTGCGAAAGTGCCACCTGTCACTCCTCCTGGCCTTTGGACATCGCTCTGCACTTCCCCCAACTTTCCCCTGGCTAACAGGGGTCAGCTCTGTGGACAGAGACCAGAGACACCTTGCTGGGGGCACTCACTAGGCGGCCGAGTCGTTGAGTTGGTACTCCCGTGAGCGGCCAAAGCAGGCCTGCACTCCTTGGTCAGCCCAAAGCCTCCGGATGACACCCGACAGGTCCTCAGGGAGCACGCCCTGCTCCTCGGCGGCGGCCGACAGTGCAAACAGCTGCCTGGCATCGTCCTGGACACAGCAGTGGATGGTCAGCCAAGGAAAGTGGTGGCCCCCACCCACCCTGCCTGTCGGAGGCAGGGAGACCTCTGGAATGGGAACAGGGCCCAGGTTGGGACAGTTTTGTGTTCTTCAGGATAAGATTGACTCTACAGGTTTTTGGGAGTTGGGAGGGAGGTGGGGGAGCAAGGGGAGAGTGCTCATACATTGCGGGAGGAGTCGGTAAAGTCAATTTGCAAGTTGCTCATGGCTTTGACAATAGCCATGATGGACTGGATGGTGTTGCTGTAGACCACTGCCCGGTACTGCCGACATTCCTCTTCCGAGTAGCCATCTTCATGGATGATCCTGAGGGCCAGAGGTCAGGTGTTACGGCCTACAGGGACTTGCTTCTGGAAGGGGGACCGGCCCCACTGGGATCTGTGGCTGGGGCCTGCCTGCCCACCCCCCCAAACTTACTTCATCTGCTTCACAATGGTGCTCTTCCCAGATTCACCAGCACCTGCAACAGAGAGTACAGGCTTTCAGCAAGAGGCTGGTGGCCTGCAGCCCTGGGGGTGGCACCTGCTGTCCCTAGCAGATGCTCTGGGCCTGCAGAGGGAAGTGAAATGGTGCTCTCACACCTGAACCAAGCAGACTCCCTAGAGGCCTCACCTCTTAAAGGCTCCATTGGCCACTGTGGCTCCCCACTGCCCTGGTTAGGTTCAGGGGTCCCCGTTGGAGCCTTAAGGGCAGCTCCATCTTCCTGTGTGGCTGCTGCACACCACCACAGTCCCTCAGGTGCACCACCTCTCCCCACACCAAGCCTTGGCTGCCTGAGGGCCTAGGCTGTGGCACGATGTCACACTCCTGCCTCTGCTCCCTGGATTGGGTTTGTCCCAGACAGGACACTGGAACCTGGGAGATGCAGAGTCCCACAGCTTCCTATGTGTATACCCCCACTACACAGGTTTAAACTTTCCCCCTGCCTGGCAACCCTTTGTGTGTATGCCCCAGCAGGCCCACAGAGTGGTCTTACAGATGAGGACACCGAGACGGGGAAAGGTCTGGGTATGTCACACCGCCAGGCTTTAGCACGACATGCGAGTCCTGCTGCAGTGATCCCTGACCCACCCTGCCCTTCTCACAATGTGGCTCAGGGAACGGGCATTGGGCACAGTCAAGATGTCACCCGGGACACCTGCATCCCATTGTTACAATGCAGGCATTCTAGTTCCGGCTCTGTCTCCCCATTCCGTCTTCCTGCTCATGTGCATCCTAACAGGGAGCAAATGACGGTTCAAGTAACTGGAACCCTGCCGCCCACATGGGACACTTGGACTGAGTTCCCAGCTCCTGACTTTGGCCTGGCCCAGCCACAATTTTTGTGGATATCTGAATAGTGATCTAATAGGTGAAAGATCTTTTTTTTTTTTTTAGATTTATTTATTTTTATCAAAAAGTCAGATTTTACAGAGAAGGAGAGACAGAGAAAGATCTTCCATCCAATAATTCACACCCCAAATGGCCCCAATGGCCAGGGCTGAGTTGATCTGAACCCAGGAGCCAGGAGCTTCTTCCGGGTTTCCGACATGGCTGTATGGTCCCAAGGCTTTGGGCCATCCCCTACTGCTTTCCCAGGCCACAGGCAGGGAGCTGGATGGGAAGTGGAGCTGCTGGGATATAAACCGGTGCCCATATGGGATTTCCCCGGCGCTTGCAAGGCAAGGACTTTAGCCACTAGACTACCATGCTGGGCCTAAGATCTACCTTTTTTTTGGTTTGTTTTTTAAGATTTATTTATTTCTATTATAAAGGCAGATATACAGAGAAGAGGAGACACAGAGAGGAAGATCTTCCTTCTGATGCTCACTCCCCAAGTGGCCGCAACGGCTGGAGCTGAGCCAATCGGAAGCCAGGAGCCAGGAGCTTCTTCCAGGTCTCCCACCCAGGTGCAGGATCCCAAGGCTTTGGGCTGTCCTCAACTGCTTTCCCAGGCCACAGGCAGGGAGCTGGATAGGAAGCGGGGATGCTGGGATTAGAATCGGCAACCATATGGGATTCCAGAGCGTTCAAGGCAAGGGCTTAAATCACTACGCTATCATGCCAGACCCCAAGATCTACTTTTTTAAAAAAATAATTTTTAACTTTTCTCTCTGCCACCTTTGCCCCATTCCTGCGCCACTGGAATAAACCTGTTAAGATAAAATAATAATAATTTTTAAAATATATTTGAAAAGTGTGGAGGAACACATTTCAAAAAAACAAGGCTTTAAGATAAATTTTAAGATAACAATTTCATGATCTTTTTCAGTCTTCTATTAAGAAGGACGTTTTTAGACATGACACAAAATCCAGAATCCTTCAAAGTCAAGGCTAGTGTGGGTTCTTGTCACGCCAGGGAAGGCATCTCCTGGGACCCCTGTATCCCATGTCAGAGTCCCTGGGTTTGAGTGCCAGCTTTGCTCACAACTGTAGCTTCCTGCGAAGGCAAGAAGGCAGCAGGTGACGGCTGACGTGGCTGCTTCCTGCTACCTGTGTGAAAAACCTGGATGGAGTTCCTGGCTGCATTCTAGCCCGGTCCTGGCAATACCACAGGCATTTTAAGGAGTGAATCAGCAAATAAATTTTTAAATAAACAATGTGGTGTAGACTTCACAGGACGATGCCCTGGGAAGGCATTTTAAAAAGCCAATTCCCAGATCCCACCTCAGGCACCCAGAGCCAGCTCTGGAAGGGCACAACTCAGGAAGCAGCAGTTCCCAGGAAGTCCGAGCAGAGATGGGTGAAAACCAGGCTGGGGAGCCTGGGCACTGGAGGCGGGACCTCCTGCTGTGAACTGGCATGGGCACCCCCATCCTTCCTGCCCCCTCCACACTGTGCTCCCTGCTGGGCTCCTTGCTGGGTGACTGTGAATGCCCCATTCAGTGTCTGTATTCTCCTAGGCACTATGGTGGGCCTATCCCTTGGAGTGGCCCCTGGGGGGCAAGTGGTGGGGTCTGTGAGGAGCTCAAATTGGGAGCTGGCCAAAACTGCCTCGAAGGATGAGGAGGCACTCACAGACAGACCATCACAGCAGTGTGATCACACGGGCAACGACAGTAACAAGGGTCACGTGGCAAGCAACTCTGCCATATGCTCCTCCCCACCCCCCAGCTCCCCCAGACCCCCTCCAGAGCCCGTCAGGCCTCGCAGCAGTGCTGGAGGGGCTTCTGTGCTCAACCCCTTCTGACAAGGCAGGAAACTGGGAGAATAACCACAGGCCTGCTCCTCCATCCCACACCTCCACCACCCACAGCTGTCCCCCTTCCCTACCCTTGCCCAGAGCCTTGTGACACACCCTCCCTGGGTTCTGCACCCTCTTGCCCTTCCACGCTGACCGGCCCCATCTCTGAAGCAGCACCAAGGCCCTGCCTGCCTTCAGCTCCTCAACCTCAGGCCCACGTTTCACCAGGGCAAACTGAGGCATGCCTGTGGCCTCACCATGGCTGATGAGGGGTGGAAATGTCTACATCCCAGCAGCTGCCTCCACCCCCACCCCACCCTGAGGGCCCAGAGTAAAAGCAAGGCCCGGGGTGTTTCCAATGAGCAGACTCCAAAACAAACAAACAAACAAATAAAACTAACAATTAAAAAAATGAGCAGATGCTGGGCAGCGGCTGGGGCCCACTGTACTCCCTTGGGCACAGGTTACAGTTCAGTGGGTGCTCGTTGGTCAACTCCTTGGTACTGGTCCCCCAAGGCCCCACACCACGCATTAGGGCAGGGAGGGCAGCAGTGGCCTGCTGGTAGAGTGCAGATCACCATCTGAAGTCAGGGGGCAAAAGATCATGCTGTCCCCAGCTGGGTATGACAGCGTGGGCAGCTGGCTAGGGCACAGGAGACTTGAGATTGTGTGAAGCATGCCCCCCTCTTGTATGACACTGGGTGACACTGGGATTTTGGAGTCCCCTCAAAACCCACCTGGTCACCTGAGGCATTCATTTCCCCACTTGACCAGCCCCTGGGAGAGGAGGGAGTGTCTGGCCCTTGGATGCCTGTCTTGTGACCCCACCTAATAATGGGGACTTGAGCCCAGGAGAATGTTGACATTGAATGGGGCATAAGGCAGACATTGCTTTGCATCTGCTTTTCCTAGCAGAGTTAAGAGACACCAAGGTGGGCGGTGCTTGCACAGCCTGGTCTGTAAGCCAGGACACTTGCTCCCTACCACAGCCAGCTGAGATCCACTCTCCTGTCCCGCCCGGCTTCCTTCCCTTCAGTCTCCAGAGTTAGGGAGAAGCTCCCAGTCACCAGCAGGGGTCACTGCAAGGAGCATCTGACAGGTGGGTGGAACCAGGCCAGGGAGCCTGCATCCCCGGACTGCAGCTGGCAGGTCCCTTTGTCCTTCCAGCAGTAGCGTGACTCAGGCGGGAAGTAGTGAGTGGCAGGACAAGGCGTGGTGCTGGAGCCAGGCAGGAAGCGGAGAAGGGGAGGAGGGTACTGGGACAGTGTAGGGCAGAGCCCAGGAGCAGAGACACAGAGAAGCAAGCAGCAGGGCTGCGAGGCCCTGCAGAGGCCATCCTATAAGGGGTCCTAAAAGTACCCAGAGCTAGGGGCAGTGACCTCATCCATCACTACTCCAGCTCAGCCTCCTTGCTCATCAGGCCCAACGGGTGTCTCTTGGCAGACACGCTTCCGTGGCTTGTACCCTGCCGACAGCGGACACCTCTGCCAGCTGACTCCAGACCTCAGCAAAGTTGCTGGGTGTGGAGGCTCAGCCAACAAAGAGGACAGATGTCACCCCCCGCCAAGCAGGCTAAGATCAGAGGGCTCCACAGAGCTCCCCTGGGGTGATTGTGCCAGTCCCGCTTGGCCCCAGCTTCTCACCCTTGGCAGTTGGGCAGTAATCACAATGGAGGAGTGCTGAGCCCCTAGGGAGAAGGGGAGGGGAGGGAGGGGGCATCACCCCAGCTGCCAGAATGTGGCCAGCAGGCTCCTGCTGCCTGGCACCAGCCTACAACATGGTCACTCAGGACCATTTCCAGCCCCCAGCACTCAGGCACTAGTTACTGTGCACCTTTGCCTGGTGAGGGCTCTGACCCATAGGGAGGCTATGAATACCACCCTCTTCTGTGGTCTTAGCTCCTCTTCAGCAGAGGTGGCCCAGCCCCGAGAGGCCAGCCAGCTCCTCTCCTGCTTTCCAAGCTCCTCCCAAAAGCTGAGCCAGCCCCCACATCACGGTCCTGACATTCAACCTGATCCCTCATGAGAGCTGTGGAAGCATTAGTTCCCTTGCTGTGAAATGAAAAGCATTAGTTTCTTGTTTTTCCTGCTGAGAAAGAAGACTAAATGCAAAGTTCCCACACTACCTGGCACAAAGCAGGCGT